AACATGAACATGAGACCAGGAAACCCACGAAATAGTAATAGCGGTGCCGGTGCTTCTGAAGTAAGTTAAACTAATAATAAAATATCAAGAGAGCTTTGCTTTGCCCCTCCTTTTAAAATGGTGGTTTGGAAGAAGGCCCAACCATCATCTTTCATTACTTATTAACCATTCTCCCATCCTATCCATCTCTTTTCTACCTCTTATATCTTAGTCTCCCCTCTTCATTCTTCCCCCCCCCATTTCTTCCGAACAACAAATCAATTCCCAACTCTTTTGTCAACAACAATCATTGAGATATCATCAGGATAAATTCAATCAACGTTTAATTCATCTACAAAACCATCTCAAGATGTCTGCACCAGAAGCAACGTAAGTCTTTCTTCATACCTTTGAGATGCATTCAATAAAAGACTTGTTCCCCTGCATGTCGTTGTTGTTGCAAAAAATAATACCCCGCCATCAAACACCTTTCTTCTCGAATCAAACATACCAACAAACATAATCTTCAAGTGTACTGACTGACAATGATCCAGCGGAGATTTCGGCCTCATCGGCTTGGCTGTTATGGGTCAAAACATTATCCTTAACGCTGCTGATCATGGTTTCAACGTTATTGCTTTCAACCGTACCACATCAAAGGTTGATCGTTTCCTCGAGAATGAGGCTAAGGGTATGTCAATTTCCCCGTTGCTCTTTTGGCAGACGATCAGAATCAAAAATCTAACCACGGTGATTCTTCATAGGCAAATCCATCGAGGGTGCGCACTCAATTGAAGAGTTCTGCGCCAAGTTGAAGAAGCCCCGTCGTATTATGCTTTTGGTCATGGCTGGTAAGCCAGTTGACGACTTCATCGAGACCATCCTCCCACACATTGAGGAAGGTGATATCATCATTGATGGTGGTAACTCACATTTCCCCGATACCAACCGTAGAACAAAATACTTGGCTGAGAAGGGCATCCGTTTCGTTGGTAGTGGTGTTTCCGGTGGTGAAGAGGGTGCCAGATATGGTCCATCTTTGATGCCAGGTGGAAACGAGGAGGCTTGGCCATACATTAAGGATGTTTTCCAAAGCATCGCTGCCAAATCTGATGGTGAGGCGTGCTGTGAATGGGTTGGTGATGAGGGTGCTGGTCACTACGTCAAGATGGTTCACAACGGTATTGAGTATGGTGACATGCAACTCATTTGCGAGGTATGTAAATCTCTAGTTATCTTTTCTAAAGCTCTTAAATAACTTTTATAGGCTTATGATATCATGAAGCGTGGTCTTGGTATGCAAGACAAGGAAATTGGTGATGTTTTCGCCGAATGGAACAAGGGTGTCCTCGATTCATTCTTGGTCGAAATTACCCGTGATATTATGTACTTCAACGATGATGATGGAACCCCACTTCTCGAGAAGATCATGGATTCCGCTGGACAAAAGGGTACCGGAAAGTGGACTGCCATTAACGCTCTTGACCTCGGAATGCCAGTTACTTTGATTGCCGAATCCGTCCTTTCCCGTTGTCTTTCATCCCTCAAGGAGGAGCGTACTCGTGCCTCCAAGGTCCTTTCTTACGTTGGACGATCAAACAAATTCGAGGGTGACAAGAAGCAATTCCTCGAGGATTTGGAGCAAGCTTTGTATGCTTCAAAGATTATTTCATACGCTCAAGGTTTCATGCTTATGCAAGAGGTACGATCAGATCCTAATCTTGAAATATATTTTGATACTAATAATGTTTTAGGCTGCCAAGGAATTCAAGTGGAAGCTCAACAAGCCATCTATTGCTTTGATGTGGAGAGGTGGATGCATTATCAGATCCGTTTTCCTTAAGGATATCACAGCTGCTTACCGTGCCGATGATAACTTGGAGAACTTGTTGTTCAGCGATTTCTTCAACAAGGCTATCCACAAGGCTCAACCAGGATGGAGAGATGTTGTTTCCAAGTCTGCTCTTATGGGTATCCCAACCCCAGCTTTTTCCACTGCTTTGTCTTGGTTCGATGGTTACCGTACCAAGGATCTCCCAGCCAACCTTCTCCAAGCCCAAAGAGATTACTTCGGTGCCCACACCTTCAAGATCAAGCCAGAGCACGCCTCTGAGAAATACCCAGTCGGAAAGAACATTCACGTCAACTGGACTGGACGTGGAGGAAATGTTTCCGCTTCGACTTACCAAGCATAAATTGGACATTTTTATATTGATGGAAAAGATAGCGCAATGGCGATTCATGCCTAAAATCGGCGATAGGGGAAATGTATTTAGACTACGCATGCAATGAATGAAATGAAATGGTACATGAATTAATTTACTTGACGATTTATATTGCTTTAGCGTTGAAGTTCTTTATTTAGACTGTGAATCCGACCTCCGAATACTTTGATATGTGCCGACCATGATACCTAAGGTTGAAGATTCAGTGGAAATAATCGTTACCGCCGGGGAGAACAGATGGGGGGATTGGTACTATGGAGTGGAGGGGGTGGTGAGTGAGTATGAGTGTAGTATACTAAAGTATATTAGATTGTGAGGCGGAGCTAGATTATTGGCCTAGGTTGCAAGATGATATCCATCTTATTATCCCCCTCCTTTACATCCACCTTTCCCACATCCACAACTAACGAAAAGAATCATGGTCTCAACTTCCTCTACCCCCCTCCCACAAGAGGCCCCCAAGAGGCCCATCCCTGCTCTTCTCAATCCTTCTCAATCCCTCCTCCTCACTTCTCGCACCTCGCACCTCGCACCTCTGGCCTCGCCCCAACCAACCTCTAATGAATTCAAAGATTGGTTGGTTCTCGTAGAATGGGTATCAAGGTCGTGAAACAAGGAAGAAAAAAACACTTTGGCTGTATGTATGTAGTCAGTTCACTCTTGATAAATTCAATAATGATGTTTTATGTTCTATATTCTGTTCCATGTTTACCTGGGTGGGTAGCGCTCCATCGCGAGGAATAAAGATGGCAGAGGAGGGGAGGGGAAGACGATGTTAATGTTAATGGGTGCTGAGGTATTGATGAGCATTTGAAGTTTGGCGTGGGGGAGACTGAGGCTCGCTTGGCTTGTCGTTTTTGTTTGGGAATGGGTATAATGGGAGGGATTGCAGTCTTCTCTTTACTGTCGAGCCGTCAGGTGAATGTGGAAACGATGTCGAATCTTGGGAGAGAGCTTGGTGGTTCTCGGAGCTTGTGCCGGAGCACGGGGAACTGTGAAAAGGATATTCATTTGGAGTTTATGGCTGAGTACTTTGAGAGTGAAGATTCGGAGAGATGTGAGAATGAGGATAATAGCTCGGGAACAGATGGTGCTTGACGGTTGGTACTTGACAACTTTCTGAAATTATGGGCTACATACTGAAAGATAAACTCAATCCGAGAAGCTCACGGACTCATTGCAATCGATCGAGAAGAAAAAGAAAGATCCAAATAGAAGGTTGATAGATTAGGTATGAGATTGAACGAGACTGGCTACATAGTATTTCATAGACTGTGAATGGACTTGAAATGTCGTGTGGTAGATAGTGAAGACTACTCTGTGGCTCATTAAAATACAAAGATGAAAATCTTGCTATCTTCTTAATGCCTCAGTGGTGTATGGTGCATCTTCATCAGAGTGCGTCTAGAAGTTAAATGCAGTCGTCACACGCGTATTCTGCAATTGCTCTTACCATTCATATATTTATTCATTTAAACCTCCCAGGTCCAATCATGAGGCTTTCTTGATAGCGTTTGAGTAAATGATATGCCCAGATAAGTCTTCCTCTCACTTGTTACATGCTATTGCGCATGTTATGAAGCGAATGATTGAGCTGGTGAATATTCTGCTAGGACTTGAGGGGCTTTGTTTGGGATACTCACGGCATTCTTGACGGCTAACAGGACATTCATCTTTTGTCAATATGGCTTCATCAAGATGATATGGGGATTTATTAAGGTTTTGCAGCTTGTGGAAATGTATTGCATGCATGACGTTTTTTTGTAACAAAATCTTATATTCCATCTAAAGTTTGCCACAACCACATTTGAGAGGCCATAATCAGACAGGCGAGTTGAGAAGTGACAGCATGTATGTCATTGTGTGGAATCGGCATTAAATATGACACTGGCAATAATTATGTGGCGTCTTAAAAGGGTCGTTGAAATCGCCGCTTTTGTAGTAACGAGCTTCATATTCTCACCTCACTACACCCTCACTTCCAACAACATTCAATCATTTCATTAACTAATTCAGTGGCTGGATCCAAATGAGGTCTAGCTCACCCACAACAAGAAAAATCAAAATAATCAAGATATCGAAGCCCTCTCATCTTCAAACTCACAACCAAAATCTCCGCCATACCATCCACCAACGTTAAGCATATATGGAGGAATACCAATCCATCTCCAGCAAATTCTACAGAAGAGCGAGACATTTTGGCAACTTGTTCGGTCCCGATGATGTTCAATTTGCCCTTCAAAAGCATAAGTTCATCATCGAGAACGATCCAGCTCTCGCCGACATGTCCTCTGGAGGGAAAACATACTTGAAAGAGAAACGCGCATGGCTTGAGATCTTTAAGTCATTTGTCGCAAGCCAATCTGGTTTTCCAGAGCTAATCAATTCTTAGTCAAAGATTTCGCCGAGAACCGTCCTTTTCCTGGAATCGAACCCAAGCATATTGTAGATGTTGCGCCACTATACGCACTATCATCAACAAATGAGGACTCTGAGTCTAATGGCAGCGAAGACGCACCTACATGTGCATCTTCCGCTAAAAGAAAAGGAAAAGAAATCACGCCAAAGACAGAGCCTTAATCTGCTGTGTAATTTTCATATGAACCAACGACAAGCTTAAGCTCAACTTCTAGGGCTGAGGCGTCGAAGGTCAATGAAAACGTAAAGATGGAACGGGCTCAAAATCAATAAACTGATATTTCCTCACTCCTGCAATCATTGCCAGCGCGGACGTCTTCAGTTGATCAAGCGCCATTCGGTCTTACAACTCCTCAATTTCACCCATACCAAAAACCAATGCTCCTCAGCCTCGATGGCACTCCGCTATACTCTGTTGGTCCTGTGAAACAGAAGATGGCCATATTTTGGCTGACTGCGTTTGGATCTATTAAAGCGATAGAGGAATGTTTTGCCGGTGTTCGAGTTCGTTACAACACGTTTGCATCGAAGCTGCTATTCTACGCTGAGCCTTTGTCTGTTGAAGATAAGGAGAACCACAAGGTTCTGAAGCAATGTGCCGAGTGCCAAAAGTTTCTTGAGTCATACAACCGGGCCGCGGAAGATTGCTCTGCTAAGAATGTATATAGACTGTTCGCCAATCAATATCTGGATGCGAGCGTTTGGTCTCTGGCAGAGGGACACACGAGAATGCCCCAACTCTATTACACGAGAAGGTTTGCATCCCCGGCGGTCGTCTTGCCAAAGCCGCTAGCAGTCACTTTAGATCCCAAGCCGGGATCGGAAGTCGATACTTTGGCGGTAGCAACCTCGACCTCAGAGTCTGGTCAATCCATCGCCAAACGAAAGAGAAAGGCTTCCGAGCTTGACGAGCTGCCACTAAGCGAGTTAGCGGTAGTGGAGCAGACGAAACGTTTTAAGCTTGAATAGTCTCCTTAATTGGGCACGGTTAAGCAGCTCTGAGATTGCTCTCGCTTATGGTATGTCCTTCCCCCAAGCCACACAGTTGCCGAAATGTTGATGTCACGTAAGGCGGCAGTAGAAATGCACTTTGGAGTTCGATTTGAATACCGTCTCCATAAGGAACCGTTATATTCTACTGCGAACCTGCTGACATCGGAAGCATGACTTACAACGATGCCGTTGAGCTCTGTGAGCCTGCTTCCAAGTTTCTCAACGAGTTTTCGCGCAACTCTTACGGACAATCGGGGTGCATTGATGACTATCTCAAGTCAAGTAACTGGGTCACGAAAGAGAATTAGAAAGAGAAATCGGTACTCTAGTGCTGATACCCAACTTCAGGATAGACGTGATCGGACTAAACAAGCCAATTGCTCGTTGTTCTGATCCTCATCCATCTCTCCCCTTTTACAATTATTACTCAAGATCATCCGTTTTGTATTTTTCTTGCATTTGTTTTTTACATGCTTTTATTGGCGCTCAATGGACTTTGATGTCCTTCAAACCTTTCTTGGGGTTCTACATGACTTTTTGAGGGGCTTAAAGGATCTACTTGTATCCTTCATATGGATTTTTTGGTCAGTTAAACCTCTCTAGCGGTGCAGGGCTTAGCAGCCCTTGTTTGTTCTCCTTTTGATTTGTAATTATTTCTAGGGTAGAGTGAATATACATCATACTCCGCCACTCTTGAATTCCAGAGAATCACTACAAGTTAGTGTGATGAAGATGCAATCTGATCGATGTGACATGTTATCCTAAAGTTGAGACTATTTTTCATTGCATGTTAGCAAAGTGGTAGCAGATTATGACGACTTGAATGTCAAGAAAATTTGGGTTGGGAATGGACGGGCAATGGTTTTATACTGTTCAAGGACCTTGTTTTACACATTTTTTTTACCACTAATCCTTTCCTGCGAGTACCATCTTTTAGTTTCCTGACCAATCTGACTTCCTATCAGTCTTGGTTTTATTTTTGACCCCAACTCTACCGCGACATAACATCGGCGACGCACAGGTACAGAGGAACCATTAAGAGCGACGCCATGTTGAGCTAGTGCATTATACATAGCCTGCAATTTCATGGAAGGCATTGTCGGTGTCGATAGATTGGCGATAGAAGCGGCGGACACGATTCCATGTGCGATTATGGTATAGAAGACAAATGATGGCTGGGGAATGCAGCTAACTATTGAATGATACAGAATTGACGATTGCCACGCCGTGATGGACGACCGAGAGAATGTGGAGAGAGACACGAACGGACTTTCAATGGTTGCCAAAGCAACCACGATATAGCGCTCATGGTATAAGCAAAGCAGTCAGGGCGATCGTGGACGGAGAAAGATTGACGAGAATGACACATTAAGTTTCTGCAAAAACAAAAACCATGGATTGGGACTCAGCAGACTTATCCTTCAATAGTCTAACTGAGCCCCCGCATCGCATGATATATAAGATCCAGCGTTCCATAATTCGCTTGTTTCTGCTTGACTTCATAGAGAGTGTTGAGCTCAACTTTTTCCTCTTCGTCGAGAAATTGAATTCTGTCTTCGAGTTTATCTAGAGGCCCAAAAAACATCTCATCGAGAAAAGTCCAATAAATATCATCAAACATTTGAGCGTTCCTTATTGCAAGACAAAACCAAAATAGTCCATTATCCATTGATTGTTCCATGCGTTCCGAGAGCCGCTGAGCTTCGATAAGCTTGTTACTTTTGATCTGTTCCTCTTCAACTTCCCGTAAAGCCTCAAGAAAAAGACATAGTCGCGGTTTATCACGAGGCAAAAGTTTGCCTTTTAAACCAAGCTCCCATTGTTCTGGATTCTGTAATAGAAGCCACCAAGGTGCTGCATATGTGAAGGCTATGGGGGCTGCATAGGTGAACTCGAGGTCGATGACTGCATTGATGTGAAATGGTTCTGTATCAACAATAACATTCGATGGTCGGAAGTCCTTATAAAAGAGCTAATACGCGTAAATTCCGGTTTAGACATTTCAAGCACTATATTGGCCATTTCGTGGTAAAGAACCTTTAAGCTCCGCTCACTTAATGTTGGGATTTAAATTCTGCAGCTCTGTCCTGGATGTCATAAACGGACCAGAAGCGAGATCTCCCTCGACGGATTCTTCAACAATGTATGGTGCAAGAGCAATTTTTCCAACGCCCAATAGCCGTGGAACTGGAATCTTGGTATGCTTACGGAGGTACTGGAGTACGATAGCCTCGTTTTCAACCTTCTCGGTGCGATAGAGCGATTGACCCAATGCAGCGAAACGAACAATGGCTTGGAAGCCATCATCATATGTGACGCGATAGGTAACATTATACCCGCCAGTCTTCCACCGAACTGCTGTAAGTCCATTTCCAGGCCGATGTTTTCCTGCGAGTCGACAGGCAGTCTGTTCCGGTTCTGACTGTAATAGTCTTTGAAACCACACCATAAAGTTCCTCTCCTGCTCCTTTTGAGCCACGGAATCAAAATGCATGGCTCTGTCAAACTTTTGTCGATTGTGAAGATATAAATATGGGAAACAGCAAATGGGAAGGGGTATGAAGGGAATACATTAGGGAGAAAAAATTAAAGAACGAGAATTGGTTCTGCAAAGGCTGATTGAGAATGGGACTTGGAATAAATAAGGGATGCTAGACGTTCTCCTTTTCGAGCACGTGAATGATCAATCTGGAGAGTCATTTCGAATATTCATCGTGAAATCAAAATGCCAATACATGAGGGAAGCCATTGGAGTGTGCTAGATAGGCGTTTGCCAAGAAGACACATAATATCCATATCACGTGAGTATCAGCATCACCACAAGGCAACAGACATGAGGTACCTTCGGTTGTAATGTGCAGTCACTGAATATAAGTACTGAATTGGCCATGGTCAGCTCCTCTATGGCCTTCTCTCTCGACCACCACACAACGTCTTGGACATCGGAAGAATTTGCTCTTGTAAAGTCACATTAGGTTCGGCCGAACAAGATTGATGGCACTTTTATCCCTGCCCAGGAACAAGGATTACATCACGTCTGTGCAAATCACAACCTCGTAATCATCAAACTCGTGCTCCAGATGAGGAAGGTCGCGCGTCGCACCAGTATCGTGGGTTTCACTTGACCGGATGGTGAAATACTTTATTCACCTCAAATTTATCAACTTATGTCCTTCCATCTAATTTTCTAAAATTCTTTGTGATTTTATGAGACGAAGAAATTCAACCTTAGGAGCTCATCCAGCCGTCGTTTTCGCATTGGATTGGATAATTTGATACGGGATATTTTCGGAGCCTCGGTATCACGTTCATTCACGCACAGCGTGATTGTTTGTCAACAACTATCTTCTGCAACTAGAATTTGAGATGGCAACATCTCCTACATCCTTTAATACAATTCCCCCATCAGGACAAACTGCTTCAAGTGGCAGTGCTGGCCAATTCGATATTGACAACACACTATTTGTTAGCAAAGATGTCTCTTTATGCTTGAGTCCTGAATCCTTAATTATCAAAGGTATGTAGGTCTTTTCGTGTTATATCCTCAATATACTCAAGAGTACACAGGCGCCGAAACTGCAAAAAAGCCAGAGAAAGGAGCAAAATCAGCCGGTGCCCGTCGTTCCGTAACATTGGATGCATCTGCCTACTCAGAACCTGTTGGGTCATCAAATTTGAGGGCAATACCTTTACGTCAGATCCTTTGGGCTGAGATAACCGAGACTGAACTCATCATAAATTACGCAAAGGAGATTTCAAAGACTGTTCTTCAACCAGCGGTACTGAATTATGTTATCGAAGAAGAGCGAGACCTAGTGGAAGCATGGGTTTCTAGGCTCAAAGATCGCGCATATGCCAAATCCCAGCAACAAAAACGAGTTAAAGTGTTAATTAACCCTAAGAGTGGAAAGGGACAATCCGAGAAAATCTATGCAAAAGAAGTTGCGCCTATTCTTGATGCTGCTCATCTATCTATCGACGTGACAGTAACTAAAGCCTCAAGGGAAGCCACTGATATCGTGGAAAAACTCGACATAGAAGCTTATGATGTGATAATCTGTTGTTCTGGAGATGGTCTTCCATTTGAAGTTTTCAATGGTCTTGGCAAACGCAAAGATGCGAAGAGAGCTCTTTCGAAAATGGCTATCGCGCACATACCTTGTGGATCTGGAAATGGATTACATTGTAGTCTTCATGGTAATATCAGATCTACCAGTGTTGCAGCTCTTTCAATAGTCAAAGGAATTCGTACTCCTCTAGACTTGATTTCGGTCACACAAGGTGAAGAAAGACATCTATCATTTCTCTCGCAAGCACTCGGTATCGTGGCTGAGTTTGACCTGGGAACAGAGCATTTGCGGTGGATGGGAGGAACACGATTCGTCTATGGCTTTGTTATGAAGTCTCTCCAAAAGAAGATCTTCCCGTGTGACATTGCGGTCAAGGTGGTTACGGACGATAAAGAAGATATCAAACGACGTTGTCGTGAAGCTATGGAAGCTGGAAGTACTTCTGAAGAATTATCACGAGAGAATGATTCTTTAGAAGGTGGTTTACCTGAGTTGAAATATGGAAATTCTAGCGACCCATTACCTCAAGGGTGGGAAGTCGAGCAGCATGATAACTTGGGAAGTTTCTACTGTGGTAATGTGAGTATTTTCCGTGATGAAAGTACTGTAACTATGGAATTGAGCTAATCAATACTTTTTAGATGTCTTGGATGGGAGCAGATGTAGATTACTTTCCAGCTGCACTTCCAAATGATGGTTGTATGGATATGGTAACCATAGATTATTCAAATCTTAGTCGACTCCAAGCACTTCAACTTATGCCGGCTGTCGAGAGTGGGGAATTCTTCGGCCTACCATATGTCAATTACCGCAAAGTCGAAGCATACCGCATCACTCCGAAGAACCAGTCAGATGGTTACATAGCAATAGATGGAGAGCGAGTGCCATTTGGACCATTTCAAGCCGAAGTACATCGAGGATTAGGAACGGTTCTTTCAGTGTCAGGATATAGATATGAAACCCCTGGACCTAAACAATGAAGTGATATTCATGGGGGTATTTGAACGAGGTCGGATACTATTTCATCACTATCACTAGTCCATGCTTTTGGCATGTGAGTTTTCTTTACTCTATTTATGGAAGGAGAATGAGGTCTAATAAGTATAAAGCAGTGGATCTTGGCCTTTCGACGATTTATTTTGGGTGGATCAACAGTTAGATCATGATTAGAACCCATATAGTTGCGTAAAGTTATACCAATTATACCCCGCCAGTTCCCCACAAACCCTAATTTTCCACCACTGTTGAATCTTCATCCATTGTAACGAGGGAGATCAGCCGGCGCTACCCCACATTGATTAGCTGCCAAACTCTCTATTTTATGGTCCCCCGAATCCCCCGAGGTAAATATTCATTTTCAATGTTGCATCAGATCCATTGTCGTATCTACTTGAAACTGCATGCATACATCACCAATCTATGACTTTGATCTGTATATGGACCTGACTGAGTAACCTTATATTGATCTTGTGATTAGGGTTGGGCAAATTATATAATTTGGAGAATGTTTATATAATCTTATAATATAATGGTTTTTGAGCGATATGAATTATTACGCTAAGATTATAATACGTAGTATTCATGTGTTATTCACGTGTATTTATATGCTTATGAGGTGTTTCATCAACCTATAAAATTAAGTAAACGAATAAAAGTGGGTCCAATTCAATGCATTTTTAAATAAGTGTTTAAAAAGATTATTATATATAAAACTTTAAAAGAGATTTAATTAATGAAAGTACAACTATATATAATATATATTAAATGATCTAAAAGATAATCTAAAGCTCAATTTAAAGAACGAGATTGTAATTATTAATAATATAATGAATAAATTTAATAAGATTATTAATAGTTTTCATATTAAAAACAATTGAATAAAGTTTTACTCCCTTGAATCCAATCAAATTCAAGATTTCCATCCAAAATTCCTTTAAAATTTCTTCAAAATCCCTACTTTATTTTAGGGGATATAATTGATTTGATCATTATTATACTTTATATAACTACAAATCGCCCAACCCTACTTGTGATGAGCATAATTCTGATATGGGCCGAAAGGGGCCGCCGGATTTACTTTGAAGTTTTTGACCAAGTGGAGTCAAATGAAGTAAAGCATGCGCTCCAATCATTAGAGATCAGTAGCAAAACTAAGATTTAACCTTTATGGCTCATTCCACGGGAAGTCCTGTTCTTGGAAAGAGAAAAGAGACTCGTTTACATGTATGGCTCAATTGATACGGACTCCACCCTGTTGCATTCGAAGTACTTGAGCCAAAATTTCTATAACATGATGTCCTGCCCCGACAAGATGAGGGATTTTCTATGCAGTCACAGAATACGACTCTTCTCTTCTGCCCATCATGTACTTCTCAAAAATCCTCTTTCTGATATCCCCTCTTCTCTTATCCATTACCGCATCTCCAATTGAAGAACGAGCCTCCTGGCCTTATGCCCCCTTTACCACATCAGGTCGATGGATTCTTGATTCAGCCGGACATAATGTGTCTTACGCTGGTGCCAATTGGCCTGGTGCTGCAGACACGATGATACCTGAAGGTCTTCAATATCAATCAATTGCCAGTATCGTGACGAAGATTAAAAGTCTAGGCATGAATGTCATTCGTCTTACATATGCTATCGAAATGATTGATGATTTTTATGCCAATGGTCAGGTGGATACATCGATTTTAACGAGTTTTACAAAGGCTTTGGGGACGACTAATGGTACAGCTGTTTTTAATCAGGTTGTTAAGAACAATCCTACTTTTACAAGTAAGACAACTAGGATGCAGGTACGAATATTCTAGTTACTGTAATTAGGAAGACGTTGCTGACATGATCGTCGGTTGATAGGTCTTTGATGCTATTGCTGCAGAGTGCTTCAAGCAGCAAATTTATGTGCATCTTGATAATCATGTCTCGAAGGCTATTTGGTGCTGCTCCAATACTGATGGAAACTCTTGGTTTGGAGATACTTATTTTAATGTTGCGAATTGGCAACGAGGTATTGCATACATGGCTACTCGGGTAAGTCATCTACCCCCAAGCTCCATTCATGAGAATATCTAACATGAAATAGGGTGCATCCTGGGGTAACCTAATGTCCATGGCACTCCGCAACGAACTCCGTGAACCAAAATCCAACACACCTCTAGATTCATCTTCATACAACTGGGAAAACTGGTACACCAACGTCGTAGCTGGCATGAACAGTATCCACACCGCCAATCCCAACGTTTTAATCTTTATCTCCGGTCTCAACTTCGATACCGATTTATCAACCATTCCAAATGCCGCTCTCCTCACACCATCCACCACACAAAAATTCCTCAAATCATCTTTCTCTTATGCTAACAAATTGGTTTTGGAACTTCACAATTACGCAAGCAGTACTACCAGCTGCTCGAGTTTGCAAAATAGTCTTAAGTCTCAAGGATATAATGCTCTGAATGCTGGTGTCACGAATCAAATGCCAGTGGTCATGACGGAGTGGGGTCATGCCCAGACAGCGGCGGATTATGCAACGGTTTATTCGACTTGTTTGAAGACTTATCTAACTTCTATCAAGGGAGGTTGGATGGTTTGGGCTTTAAGTGGAAGCTATTATATTAGGTCTGGAAGTCAAGATTATGAAGAGACATGGGGTAAGTCTTTTTGCGTTTTCCGTTTCTCAGTTGTAGATGGACATAGACAGGAAGACGAGCATTTCGAATCTTGGACTAACAAATTTTGTATAGGATTACTTACCCATGACTGGTCAGCATGGAGAGATCCAACGGATGTGGCGAATGTCATTGTACCCATGGTTAGTGGGACGAAGATTTACTCGCCATAATCTCATCAATCGCAATATAATTACGGACTGAAATGGCCAACATGTATTTATGATAAAAAATTAACAATAGCCCTGTTTGAATGCCCCTTTGGCCCCAAATTACTGGTAACTGATCAGCTGGATACATCTACGTGCTTGAGATAATCGTTCACATCACGTGTGGGCATGCCCTCTTGTTTTGAAGCACACAAACTTGAGAGACATGGAGCTTTAGATCTACCGTAGGAAATCTAGAAGCGCAAAGCATGCTGTCGAATATGCTATCCGTCGCTCGCAATTACTAAACAGATTCAAACTCGCGGAAGTTATACATGAGACTGATGTTTGGGATCTCATCATGATCTGTTCCACAACCGTACTTTCTATCTATCAAAATGAGGTTACTATATATGGAACACCATCTTTGATGCAATGATTGGAAAATTGAGAATTGAAAACGTATTCAAGTAATAGAATACGATAAAGCAATATCTGGCACTTATTTCACAATTTTGTTCTGTGCATTCAAACACTTTAGAATATTCAACTCGTTTGGGATAAGCAAGTCATTTGAGAGAATCGAATTATCTGAGATATCCAGATCTTATTGAACATCCAATTGCCCAAAACTTCTGTATCCAAGTAGGATGTTAAAACAAACACTCGTACAAACTAATCTTGACATTCTGTAACTAATCACAGAATACACCAACACATTCCAAATACAATACTGCCTTTTCCAACCGATTTTTGCAATCCATCAACGCAGACACGATGAGCTGATCACAAGTACCTAGCCCTCTTGATTTGCACAGAGTTAGGCCCAATAGTTTTGTTAAAGCACCTTGAGTGTTCCCGAAGACTTCGGTTCTCATCATCGGAAGTGTGTTTTCTTTTGCGGTGCATGGTTTCTGCGTGACTCTTCCTTGGAGGGAGGGTGAGTTGGTGGTTTGGTGACAATTGGGGGTTGCTGAGCTTTCGGATTTATCACTAGATGTGTGTCTTCCCTTTAGTATTGCAATTTCTCTATGAGAATCTTTGAGATGGGTGAGAGGTGTGCTCACAATGTCATGATGATTTGACATTTTCGGAAGTACTTTATCACCAGTTGTGTAGCTTCTCTGTTTTACCGCCGGCTGGTCGGGTGTCCCATTTACTAGAGAAATGTTTGTGCCAGTAGTGCTGGATCGGGATGACTTTAGCTTTGATTGAATTTACTTGTCAGAAGCAGGCAGGCAAACTCTCATCATTGCTGCTGGTCCCTTAGGAATATGGATGGTTTGAGAGAGGGACGAACGGATGTAATCGTGTTGATTTGACTCCAAGGAAGTCTCACTCTCGCTAGACAAATGACCACCTCTCATTGCTGCTGGCTCTGTTGGGATATCATGGGCCTGGGAAAGTGACGAATGGATGAAGCTACGATGAGTTGACGTTGGGAGAGTCTGATCTTCGATAGTTGAATGGTCACTCTGCATTGTCTTAGGCGCAGTCGGAGCCTTTAGATCCAGAGGGGTAACGTTCGGGTTATGGGGCTCCGACAACGAATTTGTTTCACTAGCTTTATTCATCGTTCTAGTTGAAGTGGGAGATTTTTTGGTTCGATTATAATCCTCTGTCAACAAACCAATGGTATGATCTGCAGCCTTCATAGCCTCGCCCTTCTCCTTTGCATCCACAAGAATTTTGTATTGTTCTTCTCCAAAGAAGACATACTGTAGAGTATAAAATCCACCAGCAAATCATCTACCAATTCTGACATTGAGCCCAAAGCCCGATTTCTTTCCTTGAGCAATTTGCATTTCGCATTCTTATCATTTGGTGAGATTTCAGGCAAATTTCTCAAGACTTGATTGAAATCTACTGTTGTGACCACACTGCTCACGACAAAATGACCGATGTAATAATATTCGTCTGTGTTTTGCGAAAGTCGGAGAGTAGTAGGATAAACGGTTCCTTGCGTCGCTCGAGGTGATTTACCTGTAGTTTGGGAGATAAAATGAACCATCTGTTCGTAAGTTTGCATAGGGCTTGATAGAGGGAAGATATATGGTTGAGTGTACAGATTTATGCTGAGAAACTTTGTCCATTGAACGGGGTTTGAAATATGCGATGACGGAACGATGTTGAGAGTGTGATTAATAGGCCCAAAGATTTTCTTGAGAAAGGACTCGTGGAACGCGTTGGTAGTAGGTGGAATCTATACCGAAGCATTGGTAATGGTAGATTGATGGCGAGAATTCTGGGGCTTGAAAGTTGCAATGATAGGGAGAACATCTTCGGGTGAAATCGTAGCCTTATCTGTCTGAATCTTCAGGTTGGATGGCAGGGGTGAATGGAGAGCCTCTCCTCTGGCTGTACGGCTGCAACTTTCATCTGGGCACATTGAAGGCATCTAAGTAGTCCATCAGTATGGGCTATTATTATGATAAGAGAACTACAATCTCACCCTTAGCAGAGCATTTGGCAAGTCCCGCTTTTCTTCAACTCCGGAGTTTGGTATAACAAGAGAACGAGTCGAGTGGTCGTAGCTAACCTGACTTGTAAGATCTGACAGAACTTCTTGCCTTTGAAACATTTTCTTCATAGCACAAACCCCAATTACCCTGCCTTTCTCTTTCGCTGAATTCTAAAGCCTCAATATAATTTCCTCCGCGATTTTCTCTCCCTCTAACCTTGCGGCTGAAATTTCCTTTTCATCCTTCTCTCGCGTATTTGTTATCTCTTGTTGCAGCATTGCCTGATTGCGTTCTAGTTGCAAGACTTGTACCTTCAATCTATCATTCTCATTCTCGAGTGTGTTCACCCGTTGGATTTGCTCTTTTAGTTGGACTGCAAAAGTTAATGTTGAGTGTGGCTCGGGTATAGTTGTTTTTGTAGTCATCCTTTTTACCCTGATTATCTAGGTGGCTCCATGCTTGGTTGGTTGCACAGTAGTTTGAGATGTGAGGTGCCGTGTTCTTCATGAGACTTGCCTGGTATAATCCTTGCAGGCGGTTCGCTACATTGAGCGTTTTCGCTTGCTAGTTTCTGCATCCCATTTTCATAGAAGCGTATGACTGCTGAAAGTGGAATTCGGCTGATTAATGCCTGCACTTTTGGCCTGTAATTCCTCGTTGAGAGTATCTTTTGGGGAGCTCTATGTTCAAAAATTGGAACAACTGTCAAGGCCCCAGTGTCTAAAGCATTGTTCAGCTCGAAGTAATTTGCGGAAAGCCATTGAGAGAAAGGCGTCTTCGAAAACCGGGGAAAAGTCTCACTGAACTTCCATCGGTAAAAATTCAAACGTTCGTCATTTGAGACCGGACTCATCCACGTATACTGAGATATAAGACGACGCTCAAGCGAAGACTCTAGAAATTTAAATCGCCCATCTCTAACAGAATCTGGTGCGCTCACCTATGAAATCATACGATCGACATTTCGTATACCTGTAAATATCGTGTCTATCCCATGTATGAGATTGTGATGATGCTGTTATACTAATGAAGCCTCCAACGATTGCCTTGTTGCAATTATCGATATCCTCCAACGACCATTTGATGGTCATTTTTTGCGGCAGTGGATGAAATTCGTTTACTTCGTCCGGTTCACTAGGAAACCCATCATATTCAGGACTCGTAAATATCCACTTAAAACTAAGGCTTGACTCTTGAAGTATTGGATTAAGTTCAAATGAGGTCGTCCTTGCAGCCACTGCAATCAGGGTCAGTACAGGACGCGATATATGAACGTTGCAAGCGAATTTTCTTACAGATGATTCCTAAGAGTTTGCGCTGAAGAGTTTTGGCACGCTCGAGCCGTTCTGGTGTAGCTGCTGTGACAACTAGTTGATCCATCTGGCAAGTTGATACGATGTTTGTTCAGTCTAAATCCCAACGTAGTGTAAAGAAAGTTCGGTGCCATATACTAGACCCAATGTTTTAAAATCATGAATAAAATGAATCCCGATCACCAATTCATGTAATGCGACCTTCGAAACTGATATGATCGATTCATTAAGTCTTTTTGTTTACCAGTATCCGTTGAGTGAATACATTTATTGGGCCTGAGAAGTAGATGTGAAGTTTCCATGACCCCATTTCAATCTTAGCTACCGACCTTTCGACAGATAAATCAAGCAGATCATATGGAACTTGTCTTTGGAAATCTGCTGTGATTGGCTGTCGACTAATCAAGAATTATGATTGATCAAGAAAATGCATAATGCCGGTAGCACAAGAGTATAAAAAACGCGGCATGTAATCTACCTGAGAATTGTGCTTGATTTGTCTGCCCGAAACCTGGGTCGAACTAGATATAGAGCCCATTTTATACTCTTGACAATAGTTTTTTGAAAAATAGCGTCACGCCAGCTCGTAACTATCTGTATCACGAGCAGCTAGAACTTAACGTCTTCCTAGACAAATCGAAATGTATTTCAACAGGAATATTGCGTCCTCAGATTAAAGAAAGTCTCAGTGGCTATGCTTAAGGCCCTCCAGACCCGTTCACCGATTAGTACCTCCCGCTATCGCTATTAACATGCGAACTGCATGAAATTATCTCGGCTGACTCTGGATCCTATGAATAGAGCAACCAAGTCAACTGCGAACTTCTGGCAGAAGACAGAACCCAATTGCTATGCAGCTATTATATGATGTGGGATGTAGTAGGTTCTTGTTCTCCTGGACTAGGAATCAATTAGCAATGTATCAACATCAACAGGGTCAAACATTCTCCATTGCTAACATCACATCTTGTACCTTAATATTGATTCGAAAGATAATTAAGAGAGCACTGCATTCAATACTTAAGGTTGTGGTCGATGGTTATGCTCAGATTAAAGATCAATGATGGGAAAATTAGAAGGATTCTCCGATATACATTCCCATTCACCATGCTCATCATCCATCCACGGAAGCATTGTGACTATTGCCTCGTGAAACCCGTGAACATAAGAGTTTGAAACAGACAGCTGAAGTCTTCATGTTTGAATTGGAAGCTGTGAAATTGATTCCAAGGTTTTGTTGATAGTACTTTACCTTATGTAGTTGATCAACATCCAGGTAGGTAACTCGAGAATCGAAGTACATGTGAAGGAGGAGAGGTGCAATTAGCAACCCCGGCAGTCAATCCCAATCCTTATCTCATTACTATAGCGATCAAGTTAGCGGCCGATGTATATCCTCAGGCACATATCGCTAGTCGGAAATTTTTCACCGAACTTTAACTTCACTTCACTTTACCATCTATCACTCATAAAACGATATGCTCAGCAAAATATGTGTGTTGACTTTTGTTCATCGAGATGGTTGATTTAAAACTGGTTTCAAGAAATATTGGTCTAGAAACTAGGATATTCATGAAGTCTATCCACAAAAAGGTGTACGTATAGGTACCCGAAACTACTTTCAATCAGACTTTCTCGACAGGATCCACCGCAGAGAGAGCCTCTTGTACTCCCCATTGCCATCTTCTTTTACCCCTCCTATTTTGATATCAGCAAGGAATCTTTTAGTAGAGATTCGGAGATCTACATACCAGTCAAGTAACTGTGTAAAACTATTCTTCATACCACTTTTTGTCTCATCTTGATTCTGCTGCCAAAAAATGAATGTTGTCCTAGTCACTCTATTTCATCTCATATATACTTCTGGTAATCCATTAATTTCTCGATTTGTTAGTTCATTCGATATCATGTGCCCCCCCTCTCTCCCCGTCTACAAGAATCACTTGTGCATGGAGCAAGTTTGTGCTGCAAAATGACACATTTGTCTAAGACTACATGTTACAAAATTGGCTCCACCAGGAATACCTAGCCTTACTAAAGGCGGAAGGTAATAATTCGACGCTTATGGCCCTCAAGGGTTCAGTATGAACACCAAGGTCCAGAGATCACACTAAAGCGGAGCAACAAAGTAAAGAAAAAGGAGAGAAAAAGATCAGCGAGGCTTTCCGCGAGGGAGGAGGCAACTTAAAGCCATTATCGGCCTTTAGTCACTTCTCGTCACATTCTTCCTGCGCTCAAGCTGACCTCTCTGACTGCCTCGGCTTCAATGTCTTGCTTGACGATGGCTTGTTTGGCGGCGGCGGCATCAGCGCCTTCTTTGGCTTTGGGTGCATGGCGCCTGGCTTTTGCTCTCGCACGACTCTTAAGATTGCAAATCGCTTTCTTAGCCGCTTTTGCTGCCGATGCTGCGTCTTCCGGAGCTTCATCAATGTCAGTGACCACATCTTTGGGTTCCGAAAGTTCCACGTCATTATCGGAGAAATCGCCGTCATTATTAGTCTTCACCCAACGAGAATCGGGTTTAGGATAAGTCATGCGATCTGCCAATTTGACACCGGATGTGGGCAGAGGCGATCTCTCGCGGTAAGTCTCAATCTCAGTCTGCGCTGTAGGGCCTTGACTTCGATCTGTGGCTCTGGCGTTGGATGCAGCCTTGTTGGCGAATTTCTTCCTACCACGACCATTATTACCACCAGCGGGAGCAATTTCCATCGAATTCTGGGCGAATTTGGTAAGACCCTCAAGTCCTGCGAGAGTAATTGTATCAGGTGATGAGGTGGGCGCTGTTCTTGGCGGAGGAAAGGATGGAAATTGCGGCATCATCGGAGGAGGAAAATATTGTGCCAGTGGCGGAGGAAGTTGTGATTGTAGTCGACGACCGGAACCGCTTGCATTGCGGATCAATCCTCTCTCGGATCCATCTTTAAGATGATTCACAAGAGAAGGATTTCCACAAGCTGGGTCTTCTGCAATTGGTGGATCTTCTTGCCATGTTCCTGCGTAAATACAGTCTCTCCAATAATGTGGATTTTCCAATTGGTATTGCAGTGCGAAAGATGGTGACCAGATCTTTGGTCTGGTGTCGGCGGATAGGGCCTTCCAAACTGGATGTTCATTTAAGTCAGATGGCCATGATACCATAGCTTTCTGATCTCGACCGAGAATCAGTAAGTGGCGTTGGTTAGCATCGGATCTCCAGTTCTGGGCACACTCAAAAAGAATGTGGTCCGTTGTGTTGCACATTGGACATCCATCGATAACACCGAACACATTAACCGGACCATCACATCTTTTCAGCTCATGACGTATGCGAGAGCAATTGCCGCACTGAGGTAAACCTCTCTGTGCTGTAGCTCTTTGCCGGTCGTGACTTAGCGGTTGGGGGCCTGTGGCTGCCATGCTCCGTTAAGATTTGGTGTGCCGTAAGGTTGTTGATAGCCTTGAGACTGCTATCCTCCGTTAGGATTCGGAGTCATCCAAGGTTGTTGTTGCGGGTAATAGTATTGACCAGATGAGTAGTCATATACTGTGCGTTTTGGTTTGCGTAGGGATTTGGATTCGGAGGTCCATACCCAGGTGGGTAGTAGCCTCTCGAGTTTGGATTCATCGTTGAGGTTGATGAATTTGTTATGTGGTTGAGGAGGAAAGAATTATTCCAAGTTGAAAATAATATATTAATATTGTGCGGTCCTACTTCCAATGTTTGCCTGATTTCTGCCTAATTTCACATTTGATATTGCTCGGGTAACTGTGTTGTTACCCTTATTTTTACTCATATACTAGGTATTCCTTGTACAAATCATAGTTATCCCCGTGGCTCTGCTTTGTAGAACCCGAAGATCGTTCAAGTGCACTAGATGATAACTTCCTCACTCCACGGTCTGTATACACGCGAGGGTACGGAGGTATCTGGTCGAGCTGGTAGATTTAAATATGAAGATTATTCAATATCACCCACACCTAGATGTAGAGAATCGCCAAAGTTTACACGCATTTTCTGTAGTCACGGAGATATTGGAATGGGAAGAGATTTGCAACTGCCGGGCAACAAATACGTTGAATAGAAATCTTTGATCAGTTCAATATACTCCGGTTGTAAGATTATTACACACTGATGCTCTCCTTTTGAGTTTTGTTACAAATCACCACTACATACAATGATGTTGCGGTATATTCAGGTCAAAATCTAGTAGATAATAAGAATCTAATTGTACATACAGAAAAGGGGATTGATCATTAGATAGTGACAGAATCTACATATGAAATCAATATTCAGGGCTTTACTATCACTATCAATCAAACTATCTTGCGAAACATCAAATCTTGAAATTATTCCACTCTATTGAATTCTATCTTTTGACTACACTAGTAAGTGAGTACTAAGTATTACTTATCTAGTAAATACCATACCTAGGTAGGTAGGTGAAGAATACCGGTACCATTCCATTTTAGGTTACTCTCGCAACAACGTTTTTCCTGATGCCTCACTTAATCAACCAAAAACTACCTATTCTTTTCGTGACTCAGATCTCATCCCATGTCAATGATAGTTTACTTCAATCATCACTTATCAATCGTCAATTATGGTCAAAGCCCCGCCGATACCTCCAAGAGAGGAACTTCCCCAAGAAATTCCGATTTCCAACATAGAATTTGTTGATCTCATCACAACAGTCAACGAACACGTTCGACAGTTCCTCAATCAAGCCGAGCAGCAATCTTTCAATGAGATGGCCCCAGAGTTATATAGGTTATTGCTACTCGCTCACACGAAAGTCAGATCGCTCAAAGCTTTCTCGGACAAGCTTCGATTGGAGAAATCTACTCCCGAAGCCAAAACTGCAAGCTTCGATGCTAGATTCAATGCATTTCAAACTTCTCATGACAAAATGTTGTAAGAGTTGAAGCAATTTCAAGAAACTCTTATCGCAGGATCAAATGAGAAGGTAGAATCTGCTCAGAATAGCTTCGCTACTGCCAAGACAGCTCTCACCGAGAGTACTGAAGGCATTACAAGCAAAGTAAGTTTCATCTATTTCTTACTGTCCCGTCTTCAATTTATAACCATACCATTGCAAACTTTACCGTTTTTTCGTGGTCCTCCTGCTAATTTTTACGTAGCTGATTAGTATCGCTAAATTCATGAGCAAAGCATCTGAGGACCAAAAAAAGGCCGAGAAAAGTTGTAACCAATTGGTGGAATATGCCAATGCCCTTGAACAGAATAGAATTCTTCTTGAGAATCAATCTGCACTGGAGCGTTGTATCAGTGGTCTCAAAATCTCACACGATGACGAGATGGCTGCATATTCTACCGAAGGCAACATACTGGACTCGGAAAATCAACGCTTGAGGGAACAATTTTTTTCGCTACACTGCTGAGATAGAGACACTTCAGTCGAAATCCGCAAGTGATGATGAAGAACTTCGAAATCTACGGGAAGAATCCCAGGTTTATCGTCGTCTACAAGAAGAGTTCTCTAAGTTCAAGGAGGAATCCTCCAAAAAGGATGCTACCATGAACTATTTGAAAATTTCTTTAGACAAGTACGATGCCGAAGTCCCTGAGTTAAAGCGAATACTTCAGACAAATGTCGAAACGATCGACCGTCTCACCCAGGATCTAGAAAACACAAAGTTTGAGTTGAATTCGAGTACCGAGAAAGTTACCATGCTTGAAGCCGAGAATTCTACTGCGAACATCGAATTAAAGAAACTTCGACCTGTACACATAGATCTCGGTGCTTTAAGGACAAACCATGCCGATCTTCAAAAAACGCGTGGTCGAGAATTGGAAGAATGTACAGAACATACCAATCAGATCGCATATCTCACCAAAATCAATTCCGCACTCAAGACCGAGCTTTTCGAGGTCAATTCAAGTTACAAAAAGCTACTAATGTCGACCCTTCAAACTCGGAGAAGTGGGAGATGTCTGAAGCTATTGAAAAGTCAAATTACTGACGACTCTCTTACTATTTACCCCAAGTCTACATCTCACCATCCAGATCATTCTCGCAGTAGCAATTCCAAACCAGAAGATCCTTGGAAGACATTGTTGACATCACAACTTGTCGCCATGCGGAACTTACAGCCTTGACCTCACACTTCGGATTATGACATGAATTTTGTCAGAGGTCTGATATCCAGATGTTTGGTTCATCCCAAATCATTGGAAAATCATGACCTCTGGAAGAAGATTGCCAATGAGAACAAGGATTTGACTTGGAAATGTCTATTTAAAATCTGTAACTCTGATCATTTTGATTACAGAAGCTCTCAATTTTGAATGACGAATTGACCCAGTGTATAACCTGCAAAATCCAATCATTAGATTATTGCGTACAAGTTGTACAAAATAAAGGTCGATTTGTCTGATTATTGAAGCAGCACTGATTTCAAATCTGTACTGTTCCCTCTTCACTTTCTTAACCAACTTTTATACTTGTCATCAGACTGTGTAATAGTGTTTCTTTTATTTTTCATGGCGTTTAATCAATTTTTCAAAGCCTTTTAGGGGTTTCACGTGTTTCTGGGCCCTTTCACAAAGCTTTGAAGCTTTCCATGAGCTACGTAGCTTTCATCCAAAGTTTGGTAACTTTACATAGGCTCAGTAGCCTTCTTTAAATGTGAAGCAAATTATATTCATTTTGTAATCAGCTAGTTTAGAGCTTCAATTTTGAAAATAATATGGCTCCTTGTTTAAAACCAAAAGTCCTTGTCATGTACATCTAAAATATGACATCCCAGAGCTCATACCTCACACCTCACATGGTCAATGTGATCATGGATTGTTATTATGTACTACAGGTAAATTGTTTCTAGGTATTTGGAATGCCTCATATCTCTATTCAAAATTACAAATCGTAATTTTGTAGGAGTTGCATAATTAATATATACCTCTCATTCTCGTACTACTCATACTGATGAGGTTCAGTCAATTCCAGTCAAGGTTCACACATTAGATCGCCTAGTGATTAGGAGGTCATCGGGGAAAATGATAATTCGCTAGGGCCATTTATCTTTTGATAATTCAAAATTCTATCCGCGGATATTTGAATCATTAAAATAATCGATTGATTACTCTCACAGTTTCTCCAAAAATATTTCCCGAAGTCTCTCCTATAGTCTTCCTCAAAGTCTCTTTCAAATTCTCCTCCCCCACCCGTCAAGAATTTTAATTCTGTTAACTGAAGAGCGAAAGTAGACACTCATCTTGAGTTCATCGAATAGAATTCTTCGACGATCTAGGCAAACTAGGAGAATGCATGTACCACTATGAGATGACTTCACGCCATTTGAGATCTATCCACCTGATTCTTTCATTCTGCTGCGTTCCAGACACTGACAAATCATTGTACGAACTTTGAGGAAACGAGGCCATGTCAAACGTATACCCAAATAACCATCAAGTATTCAAACTTCCACACCTCAAACTCTCTACCTCTACTTCATATCAAACGAAGCCATATTCCTATTCACACATCCTCCCTCCTTGCATTCTTCCCCCTGTCACCCGCCCCCCTCTACAAACCTACCCCAACCTACAAGCAGTAGGAGGACAATACCCATGATTACAACTATAACTACACAAACCCAAATAACTATCATCTTCTCCTGGCAACGGATACCCCGCTTGATTCGTAATCGGTGGCTCAGGAATTTGAGCACCATATGAGAGACATGTACAAGGACCTGGGGGACAATAGCCAAAATTGCAGGTAAATTGACAGAGACCGATGTAGTTTCCTGGACCCCAGCCTGAGGTACAGACGACAGTGGGAGAAGGTGTGGATGGGGAAGTGGATGTTGAGGCGGGGGTGGACGTGGTGGACGTGGTGGAAGAGGAAGATGTTGTGGTTGTGGTGGGGATAATGGAAGTGGTAGAAGTGGTAGAAGTGGTGGAAGTAGTTATGCTAGTTGTTAATGTAATATTAGAAGACAAGGTTGTGGTTGTGGTGGGGATAATGGAAGTGGTAGAAGTGGTAGAAGACGAGGTTGTAGTCGGGATTAGAACACTTGTCGTACTTGTCGAACTCGTTTTATTAACAGGACTAGATGTTGACGATGTAGAGGTAGATGTAGGGGTAGAAGTCGTAGTAATTAAAGTACTCGTCGAGGTTGTAGTAGTTGGTGGTGGTGGACCATCACTACTGGTACCATTCAAAGATCCCACATATGCATTGAAATTATATTTCTCGCACTTATCGGCGATATTTAAACCACCATACCCATTCAAAATCGGACTGCCTTTCCTGGTAACCATGAAATATTGATTCCCTACACCCATGGTGAAATTGGTAGTGACGATTCCAGCAGGTACATCAAATGATACAGGAGTTTTATCTCCACTTGTAACAACCAGAGTTGCCGGCTGTGTAAGGAGCGTGGTGACAAATATATCATCAGCGAGCATTTCGCGTCCATTTGGAGGACCGAGAGTGTCATTCGTGCAGGTAATGCCTTTGGGTGTTGGTCGATACCAATATACAAGTTGATCTTCTGTGACAGTTGGTGTACTTGCTCCGGCTTTATAAGCAGCGATATAAGGTTTCGAAATTATACGCCAACCATCGTGAGGAAAGCCGTCAGCCCACTGTGATGAACCATCATCCTTATGATTCGGTTCCGATGGAGAGATGTAGTGAGATTCGCCGAAATCTAGAATATTCATGAGCTTAATTTTAACCTCATGAAGTATTACACTTACCATTCCAAGAAATAATTTCAATAAGTGCGGGCTGCATAGCCAACATTTGATTCCATCGATTGGTGATGAGTTCTTCGCTTATGAATACCCAGTTCTTAGAGTTAAAATGTGTGGAGAACCATGGAGAGAGAGCTAAAGGAAAGTTAACAATAATTTCTGCTTCTAAAATCATGACTTACTTACGTGCCATATATGGCTTTCCTTTGAGATATGTAAGGAATTTATCATCCCATGTAGTTGAAATTGGACCCGGGATAATGCTATTTCCACCATCTGTAGGCCATGCTAACCAAGAGAAAGCGCCATCAAATGATGTAGAGAGATAACTTGCTTCAATCGGATCTTGCATCATTGGAATAGCGAAAATCGAATGATTCGTTCGAGCTTTGACAGGTGCCCAATCAAAATAATCTCCCACAAAGGTACTGACCATCGCTCCTCCATTATATTGCACTTGTCCAGGATGAGATGCATATTTATTCATATAATCTGTGATGTTGTTGGTGTTTCCATTATTCCAATAAGCAAAGTCGAATGATATGAAAACATGAAATCCAGTTTCTTCGGCTGCTTGATATGCAAGGGCAAGCTGTGTTGGAGTGTAACTATCGATACTTGCACAATTCAAAGCGAATCCGTCGATACCAATCTCTTGCGCATATGCCATATCTATCTTCCAATCCGATAGTTCATAATTCTCGACAATCCCGACCTATTAAGAAACTAATTAATATAAAGTATTAAGAGACTATTGACAAGGATAACTTACCATAAAATGAGCAAAGACATATTTAGGAGATGTAGCTCGGCTCACTGTTGGTGCGGAAAAGGATAACCATGGTAAGAATGATACTGCAGACAAAGCAATGATAAGAGTAGAGTGAAAAATCATATTGGCGTCGAAATGAAGATAGATAGGGAAAAAGCAAAAGGACACTAGGAAATATGAGAATAAATACGTTCGTAGCTAGAGTCATATTTCACCGAGGTAATGAGCCTATACTGTATAAATTACGAAAGATGAGTTCGTTGATCTATGTATGACCAAAATTTATTGGCGTTCATTGTGAATGATCACATATTGAAGTAGTGAATAATGTCAATACGTTTGATAACATATGAGACTCTGCGAAGAATGAAGTTACACCAGGGGTTCACACCCCGCAAAAATCTCAAGCGGTTGTAACTAATTTGTAGGGCCTTTAGATCCCCCCTCTCTTGCAGCGAACCACGACACAAGACAATGGAAAGAGATCATTGAGACATCTTAGCTTTATGCTCTTCCTCTCACTGTGAAAGCCTGACAAGAGCAATCATTTCAGATTCGTCATTACCAGCAATTGGCTTTCTAAGTAGCTGATTCATTGTCCTCGTCCTGATTCAACTTAAAGCTTGCCTACATTGAGACATATATGTCGTACTCTATGCGAGAAATTTGACATCAAGCGGACAAAAAGGTTAGGTAGGACGTACGTTATATTCCTGGCATTAGAGAGACATCTTGTGCACCAGGAAGTAGTTGTAATGTTATACGAAGATTATAGCTTTGGAAGAACGACATGATCTGACTTCGATCTATCACTTTATGTAACATTGAGGAATATGCGTGACTAAAGGCTCATGCTCAACATACTTGCAACCTTAAACAGCCTGTTCTGTCTGTTCTAGATGACGAGAACTAGAAGAAAAGTATAAAAGGACAACAAGAGGAATGAAGACAGTCTATACCAGAGTACTTTCTCAATGGTCACCTGATCGGTCCGATAGAAAGACTCGGCTGATGATTTCCTATCATTTCGACAGCTCTCATGACCATCAATTGTGAGCACTGGCTTCTTGATTTAACAATATCGTAGTCTTGGTTGCTAGAGCTTGGTGGCTAGGATTTGGTGGCTAGAACCCGGTGGCTAGAATTTGGTGGCTAGAACTAACTACTGTGAATGAAAAAGTTTGTTTCTTGCTTAATGACTCTAGAACAAAATGGCGAGAAGCAGATATATACGAGTAAATAATGACCGGTTGAAGGTAAGTTACCCCTTTCTTGATCCAATCTTCCTCGTAGCGACAATAGTATGAAACAGAGCTCTTACCTATCGACACAAGATTAACAAGATACCAAATCAATGTTCCCAACAACAATTCTAGACACATCCTGTGCACTACCATGGATACGTAGTTGTCACTATTGGAGTGAAGAATTGAAAGAAAATCATCTGATCTCGCGACATTATTATTCTGCCCAAAAAGCGGTCAAGCATCCCTCCTGGACAGTATCATTATCCTCAAAATTTAGCCCCTCAAAGTCTCGTAACTTTAACAAACATACACGATTCTCTTTTCCGAAATTTTCAGAAAATCACTCAGAATGGCGCCTCCATCTCAACTCGCTATAGCTACATCATCAGTTGCTCGTCTTGTTAAAGAAGAAGCTTCATATCATAAAGAGTTGGTTTCTCAACAGGCACGATTGAAGAAATTAGAGGAAGCCACTGAGGAGGATGAAAATAGAGAGTATTCTTTGAAGCAGGAGGTTAGTGTTGCATGTTCTTGTACTCTTATACTACAATAATTTGGGACCAAAAACTAATAATCAAATAGCGCGCCGCAATCGAAGAGACCAGAGCAGTATTCCCACCGCTTCGAGAACGTCTCGCAGATGCTATACTTAAGTTGGAGGACTTAGTTCAAAGAGGTGGCTCTGAGGCAGAAGAGGAAAAAGCAAATGATGTTATTGATCAAGCAAAGAAGGCTATTGCTGCTGGAAACTAAGGATTGTGGATGACCAAATCATGATTCACGATAAATATACCCGATATTGCGAAGCATTTATGAACGATGTGTGAGGGTGAAGGTTATGATGAAATGCACAATTTACAGCGCAAGATAATACAAAGTCATTGAGGGTATCATTCTGATTTTTTATGGTACCTTCTGTTGTACAGAGTATTGAAAGTATTATTGATTAAAGATACCTATGTGGTATCCATCTTATCACCAACTTCTCCCTCATCTATTGATCCTTCTTCTGGTTCATTAATCGTGACTCTTGGTGTTCCTACTTGTGTTGAATTCATCCCATCCGCCATAGGTGTGTCGGCTGAATGATCCATATCCACTTGTCTAGCACTTGCATCTGTCATTGCAAAATCTTCCCCTTCTCCCTCTTCCCCTCTACGTTTACGACTTCTAGCTCGTTCTGATCGTGTTGGAGATGCTATTCGACTTGTTGATCTACCTCTTGAGCCAGGCCTTGAACCAGACCTTGAAGCAGGTCTTGAACCGGGCCTTGAGCCGGATCTTGATATTGATCCAGAAGGCATGGGTTTGGGTTTAAGTGTATCTCTTTCTGGACTTTCTTGTCTTGGTGTTGCATCGTCACTTGTACTGCTTCGCCTTTGGGGAGTCGGTCCATCACCATCACCAACCTCGCCATCTTCCTCCCCTCCGTCCATTCCTTCTCGTCTTTCGACCTCTTCTTTCTCATCTCTGATCAACCTCCTCAATTGCATTCCCTCCTCAACAATTCTACCAAATTGTTCTCTCCTCTCTTTCCATGTTTCACCATATGTTCTGCTTTCTCTTTCTAACTCCTTGCACTCCTCTTCCAATTTCCTCAAATTAATTTCTTGATCCTTTCGTGGTCGCAATAACATATTATTCGTAATTTTCTCGGCCAATTCGTCAAACTTTTTCCTCTGTTCTAACGTAGTCTTCGCCTCTTCCAATTGAATTCTTAACTGAGCGGTACTATCTCTCACCGCTTGTGCTGTTTCCAAAATATGTTCCTTGTCGGCCTTATACCTCTCGCGTTCGCGTTCATTACTATCGCGAAGAAATTGGATGCGCGCGAGACTGCTATCAAATGCTGCGAAATCGAGGAGTACATCTTCGCGCAATTGACGACGCTCATCAAGAACCTTTTGCTGATCAACTTCCCCAATCTCTTCGTTGGTATCTAATGGTGGTGTAGGAAGTTTGCTAGGTGTAGTGACGAATCCAGGAGTGAGTAGACGTTTAGTGATTCGTTTGAAAGGTTTCTCTTCGACATTAAGAAGGCGAGATTTGTGTAGTTCATCCTCCTCTCTTTGATCTAGAAGTTGATAGGAAGCCATCTCGAAGGTATGAATTTATCGATTATTGACTGTTGGTCGTGATATTGATGTGGAACATTTGAAAGCTAAGAATAGTTCCATGAATTTACCACGGCCGCTAGCGCACCATAGTACATATCTAGTCCGGGGTTCCAGATGCTAGTGAACCCACTTCACTCAGTGCGGGCTTCATAATCTATAAATTCCCCCAAACTTCTTCTTTGTTCTTGACGAAGCATACTATTCACCAATTTTCAAATTTCTACAACAATTCTAATTCATTTTACTTTCAGGAAAGAAACCTAACTTCACGAATTTATCTCTATATTTCTGCCATACGAAAATCTCAAATTAATCAAAGGAAATCCTCCTTTATATCACCAAACGCTTAATCTGTCAACCTCTCGAACGGCCAGCCTCTCCAACACTAGGTACATCTTGAGATCCTTGAGTACTCCTTGAAAATATCATACATCCCTACCTTTGACACGAAACGAAATTATGGAAGAACGTACCGGTGTCAAGTCCTTGTACAGTCTTTGTAAAGCAACCTGTTTGAGAAATATCAAAGGTAGGCTTTGTATATTACTTTATTATGATTTCATGGTTCATCGCTAACATCTTTTAAGACTTGTATGATATTGGAATCACATCATACCAAGTAGCCTACCCTATCCTCAAGACCATCACCAACCCCGAACAACTTCACATAATCGAGCAAAGATCTCCACATATAAAGGGTGAAACTGCGGAGCTCTGGAAAGCATTTATCGTTCGAGATATTCCTAAATGGCAAACAAAGAACTATGTGCCAAGAGATCCAACCAAGTGGGCTCAAGTATACAAAAAATACAAAACCGAGCATGATGAGGAAGTTGCTAGCGCTCAAGCCATTCTGATGAATTCAATGAATGCATTGAAGCAACACAAACAAGATCATGTTAGCAGATTTGTTGATCTCAAACGTTTACCGAAAATTCCAAGGGATTATGGAATGCGCGCACATAATGGAGGTGTTCCTTTGACAAAGGGAAGGGCGCTTCAGAATGCTGGACCCAGTTCTTTAACCTGGGGCGGAGGCAGTAGGACAAAAATGACGGATGGTGCAAGCGTACTTACGAAAGCTCGTCGGGAAGCTAAGGAAATGAGTCAAAGGAGCAAACTCAACACCTTAACCAGTGGATTAAGCCACGGACAAGTACAACGGGCCCCCGTTGGAATGTCTCAAGAATACAAAATTGCCAACCAACCTGCATTAAAGATTTTGACAAGACACAGGCCATCGGGTGCCAGAAGCCCCCGTTCTCTTGATTCATCATCTGGTGGACCTTCCCTTGAGGATCGTGAAAGGAGATTACGCGACGCAATGAGTGGTAGAAAGCCAGTTTCCAGATCTTCGAAGGAGCCTATGAGTGGAACTTCGGCCGGAACCCCGACCATGCTAGATGACGATATGTTCGGAGATGATGCGGATGATGTAGACAACCTTTTTGATGAAGATGAAGAGACAGAACCAGCCCACAAAACGTCGACTCGGCCACCGCCATCTCGCAAGATCGTGAAACCAGTTGCACCATCAACTCGCCTTCGTTCCTCTTCCCCACCAAACAAGGCAACAGCAAGACCACCCGCAGCGTCATCTCGACCAGCAGCACCCGGAGCTATGATGCCCGCTCGTAGACGACCGGCTTCTGTCGATATCTTCAATCGTGGACCCAAGAAACCTAGAAGATAGTCAGCCAGCATTTTTTGTATATTTTACCATCTCATTTATCGGGTCCTGGATTGGGAAGTGGAACTTTAGAACTGGGGTATTCTTTTTGTCAGCGAGGCGTTTTGGGGGGCCAAATTTCTTCATGGGACATTGGTAACGATATATTTTGCTACACATTAGAAGGGCTCCTGGAATAATGGGATTTTGGGGACTGGATTATTGGCTTGTTGACGTTGAGTGGAGTCTGTGGCTGTTACGTTGACCAGCATATATGATCAGCCTTGTAAATGATAATTATCTATGCATAACCCTTTTTGTCACAAATGAGTATTGTCACATGAATGAACGTGTTTCGATCAACCCCCAAATTGCGTTTTATGAAGAGTTTATTATAGAGATATGCGCGGTCTATTGAAAATCTAGTCCCATATCAGACGGCCAAGATCGAATTCATGCACGCACGCAGAAAATCGCCCAATGTATAATACTCGGAATTTTCGCGTCATCCATCAATGAAATGCCCAATCATCTGCCCGTCAATGTCAACTCATCGTATCGCATCGCATCGCATCGCATTGTATTGTATCGTATCGTATCGTATCGTATCGTGAAAAGGGGAAAAAAAGAGACGTAACCAATGAAAACTTGCTCGAATGCGTAAAAGTCGTGAAGAAGGAGGTTCGGGGTATTTCGGTAGGCAGCAACACGGTCGAAAGTCGAGAGGAAAAAGACGATAGGGGTATTAATTGCCGCCACGGAGTGCGAGAACTAAATGTAGGGTCGCTCCGGGTTCGAGCTCGTAGTCTTTTACTAGCTTGTCGTCGGCCCTGGGAAGATGTTAGTTGGGGCGTTGGGGGTGGAGGGAATGGAGGGAATGGGAGGGGAGAGGTAGGGTAAAATGGCACTGAACGTACATTTGCTTGCCGCCATAAATTAAACGCTGTTGAACGGGTGGAATGCCTTCTTTCTCCTCGACCTTTTCCTTAACTCTCTCGATCTGTGATGGGAATGTTAGTTGAGGTTGTAAAGAATGGATAGGGAGTTGTTGCGACAAACGTACCTTGTTGTCAGCTTCGACATCGAGTTCGATTTCCTTGCCAGTGAGAGTTCGGACTCTGCGAATTATCAGTATGGAAGCTTCACAAATATCGAGAGGAGAATGTGAGATAGATATGATAATACGTACTTGATAAGCATTGTTGCGGTGGTAAAGGGTGATTACTTCTGAGGAGGATCTTCTTCGTAGGAATAGTTTCCAATGTTGAATAATGGGAACCGGGTGTTGTAAGGTTGATTAAATCTTTCGAGACCTAATCCGTGTCTGAGAAACTTTTGTTCTTTAAATAGTTCAAAAGAGCTCAAGGAGAATGCGGAAGATCGTCGTGGTGATTTTTCAATTGGAGGGGGTGTAATAATCAATTTGAATGGAGGATGAGCAGGTGGTGGGGTTGAAGGCTGACTGCTCTCTTTAGTAGGCTTGGAACCCATCTTGTTGCAGTATGGATGGGGGGAGTTCGGATTATTGTTGTTCCTAAATAGAGTTTCTCCGAGGATATCCCAGCCATTAAATAATTCTGGAGTTTCTTGAGCTTTTCCATGTCACGTGCACTAGTGAGATCCCTGTCATTCATTTTGATGGTCCAAGCTTCCCTCCATCTGCAGGTCAATCTTACCTTGACATTTTCTCGCCATGTCTCATCATATCATAAACACACATTCATGTTAATGATCTTCAAAAGAACCACCAAGATTGCACTTCTCTTATCACTCACTTCAGTATAATGTCCTATCGGTCCTATTTGTCCCATCGTTTGTTATGATCCTCAAACGCTCTCAACATTGTGACATTGTTAAGAGCCAGCAGTGCCTTCCAGCATGCCAAATCCTAGCACCAAGATTTTATATCCAGACCCAGAAGCAATCATCAATATCTAGTCGGCTTTTCGAAATTTATCGCAAGATGCTGTTCTGTTCATATTTGAAATCTCTCGTGTATCTCAGACCAAGTTCTTTGAGAAAAACATCTTGCCTATGCAGAGATCAAGTAATGAAGTTTCATGCTATTGCTATCGTAAAAGACTGGCTACCAGAGGAGTGTGAATGACTCGATCTTATTTGAATACACTATACTTCCAGTGAAGTGAAGCTACCTCAAAGTCCTCCGTTTCTTTCCATACTTGAAAGAAAAGGTTCTCACTCTCGTATCATTGGCCTGGGACTGTCCGCCCTCCTTCACGGCCAGTCCTTCAAAGGACATCTTTATCGTGAATTGCTTCTCTTTGTTGTTGTGTTAGCTTTTCAAAACATTCAACAAAGAATTTTCATAATGTACATCCAGGAAGCAAAATTATCAATTCACAAGAAGTTTTGACTCCTCATAATAACTTCAACATTCTCAAATTTGCCGACAATGCCAACAATAAAATTTGGACAAGCGACAAACTCAATTTTCAATGTTAGTCGGACCAAATATGGAGAGAAGCGAGTTTATGTTCCTCCACATGGTTATGCTTCTGCAGCTAGCGGGTGGTCTCCCACAGGCTACCTTCACCCTAGTGGCAATTTCAAAGAGATCGTAAAGGAAAACGCATCGAGGAGTTCCAAAAAGCGAAACTCCGCGGTTTCACGATACGGGAGCTTGTCGACTTTGATATAGTCAGTGGTAGAGTTCTGGAAGAAGCAGATCTTGGATCAATTCCAATTCATCCTATATTATCACAAAACACTGGGAGAAACTTGGGCAGAGACAAGGGGATTGGCCTCTACAAACACCCGAAGTGATGGAAGGTGGCCATTAAATCATGGATAACCCTTATATATTGAAGGAAATGAAGCCAGTTCTAACATTAGCAAGTGCATTTCTTTCTGAAATGCATACTTTACCATTTGTATATCCCCTCTCCCACGACCTGGTCAGGTAGATCTTGTGAAGAGAATTGATTGGCTTATTTCTTAGTTAGATGCATTGCTCTTAGGGCCTCGAAAACCGGTGAGTCGAGGGAGATCAACCATTCCGCTTCCGGACGGTCTTTATACATTCTGGCGCAGAGATCAACAAGCTAGGACTGCAAATGGTTCTGAAGAATGCGAGAAGGCTTTTACTGCATATTTGAAATCGTTACAGGAAAGACTAATACGGGGGTTTGCCGCGGGTTACCGTATGCCATGGGATGACGCTCCTATAAAAACCAATTGTCTTGGTGTTACTCACCTCGGAGAGAATAGTGAAGGTAGACCAGTCGTTTGGATATTTTTGGACATCAAGATCTGTGATTTACTCTTGAGGAACGCTTGACCTCTGCAGAGAAAGCAGGTGCCCAATATTACTTAGCAATTACTATGATTCATGAATTAACGCATGCAATTGGTTTTAACTTTTTTGACGATCCTGAAGTCAAGCTTCGCTATGGATACGAACCATATTTCGAGAATTCACCTCAGTGTGAATTGGGGTTTGAAATGGAAAACAGTGTAATTGATACCAATGTGGATAAATATTGCAATACTTGGCTAACCAGCATCAGGTTTTTGGTGGTATCATCGAACCAGTCTTCAAGGCACCTGCAGCTCTGCTCGCATATTGGATGGCTTCCAGTTATCCCTGTTGGTTTCATATGCACATACGAACTCCGGAAACAATGGTTTTGGATTTGGTTGCGGAATATAATGATGTGCTATATACTTACTTTATCCCGATTCAAACTTTCGAGGATATGAGAAAGCTGAGCTTTTGGGATACTGTTATTCGGCGGGTAAGTTCTACTACCCACCTCTACTCTTACCACCAAATAGATTCAAGTCTTTACTGACTTCCAAAACTTGAAGTACGGCTTCTCAGTAATTCATGCTCGGTCAATAAGACATGGGTGAGGATCGCTATACAAGGCTGATTGGACGGACTACGATGAATTCAATGCTCCCCAATTGGCGTTGATGAAAACAGCTAGATTCTCGTTTCACGAAGGGAAACAACAAGCTAGGATTAAAGAGTTAGCCGAATCGGTAGAGCTGTACAACTCAAAACAATTTTCACCTTCAAGAAAGACAGCTTCCAAAGTTTTAGACGATATAATGGCAAGCGCATCAAAAGAAGAAAAATTCTACGACTTCACTCAGGAGTAAGGAGCCAAGCTCTCCCTAATACGTGAAGTTTGCATTGAGCTGCAAAAACCATCAATTGCTGCTGATGCAGTGCTGCTGATGCAGGACAAGGTGATAAAGTAGCGTTACTACTTATCCCAAAGCTCGAGCAAGCAGTATTAGCCCACAAAGAAACTTTCCATCTCCTAGAGGCCTCGGAAGCGTTCAGACATGAAAAATTTCGAGATCGTCGCGCCACGCTTTTCCGTTGGAATGTCGGTACTCGTAGATTGCTCAATGATTTAATTACCGAAGTTGACAAAAACCAAATAAAGATGAGATTGTAATCGCAACTCTTGAACAACTCGTTCAGCTCCTTGCCCAGCTCGAAGATGTACGCTTGGAATTATTCCCCCCATTACCTACTTGGACAATTGGACATGAATATAAGGCCGAGGGAATCGAGGAATTGAAAAAATGGCCCGAGAATTTCTTTGCAGGAGAACTTGCAGAACTGGATTTCGTGTATCTTCTCTACACTGCAGCGTTGGAACCTAATTTGAGTAGATGCCGTACTTTGGCAGGAAACAGGATGCAGGAAAATTTGGGTTCGTCGCCGATGTCGTTTTATTGTCGCTTTTTGTGCATGACGCAGGTGCTAGTGTGTAGTGATGAGTGGATGGAGAGGAAGTGGGAAGAGAGATATCAAGTGATAGGAGAAAAGTTGCAGTGGTTGAAATTCATGAGGGAGGGGTGTATGGAGTTGTGGGGGAGTACTTTTGAGGTGTGGATGCGGTGGTATGAGGCGAGGAGAAGGAAGGTGGATGATGAGAAGGCGGCTGAGGAGATGGCGAGGTTGTCCAGGGAGAACTCGGAGAGAGGGAGGAGGAAGAGGAGGGAGAGATTTTAGGGGGTTTGGGGAAGAGTTAGATGGGTGGGTAATTTTATTAACTTGGAGTTTGTATGGTGATTTTGGAAAGTAGGGGTGTTGAGGAATTAAACTGGGTGTTCAATTTGTATGCAGAACTTTGTTAGTGTATTTAATTGCAATTGATTTCAGTTCTTGAAACTCTTTTATTCGTTATATTTTTCATTCATAACTCTTCTGTGTCTGGTTGTTACTCTGAGATGAGTCGTTACATGCTAATCTATATCTAGAGGGTGACACGGATCACATCTCCATTCCCTCCATGATTTCCTAAATGTCTACCAGAATTCCTATCCAATTCCTGAAAATGAGATGAGATTATGGAGATCAGATAAAAACCCTTGAAAATTCTCCCAATGCCATTATTGCCATGGCCTGACCATATGGCATACTTGTCCTATCAATATCAATGTAGTGCTGTAAGGTATGGCCCATTGCTGTCCCGAAACTGACATCAAGTAATTCTCCTTGATCATTAACCTTTCCCAACACAGCTTTTATGGCTTTAATCGCACAATTCTGATATTCCTCTCCTTCTATATAACGCATTCTTAATGCTTTCAAAATACCATATGCAAATCCGGCTGTAGCAGAACTTTCAACATAGGATCCTGAATCTGCAGATTGGTCCAGAAGTGTACGCCACAAACCATCATCTTCTTGATATTGAACCAATGCGTGACACTGCGCTTCCAGAGTGTCGATAAGATGAATACGGAATGAATCGTTGGTTGGCAAATCGAGCAATTCCAACATCTCTGGAATGACAATTGTTAACCAAGAGTTACCTCTCGCCCACAACGCCTTTGCAAAATTATGTCCTCCATCTGCAAAAGTCCATCCATGAAAGAATAATCCAGTCTTGGTGTCGAAAAGATATTTGATATGGAGGAGAAATTGCCTTTTCGCTTCTTCGACATAATGAGGTCGATCTAAGACTTTCCCAATCTTCGCCAATGGAAGAACCGTCATCATAAGCGTATCGTCCCACAATTCTTGAGCGTTGGTCGAGTTGTATGTCATGTGTGACATTCCACCATATTTTGTTCGTGGAAGCTCATACATTGCCCATTCTGCCCAGTTCTCCAACCATGGCAAGAACTTATTGACCTTTTTCTCTTCATACACGTATGCTAGCGTCAACATCGCGGCCACTGTGTTGATATTCTTGGTAGTTCCCCCTTCATCGAAGCGATTTTGAAACCACTTTTCGATAATCTCCAGGGAGTCTTGAGAACCGGTGAGACAATGATCTTTCCAAAGACCATAAAGTCCAACACCATGAGTCCACTCCCATCCTTGCCACCCTTTGGTATCGATGACTCTGCCATCTTCCAATTTCAATAGAAATTTTCCAGATTCATCCTTGATATGAACCATTTGAAAAATCAAGGAGTCGATGGCCTTTCGAACATCGTTCGAGGCAACATTGAACACTTTTTGCGGCATTTTCGTCTCGATTGTATTAGAAGTAATGGGATTTGAATTCTCTGAACTTGACAATTCTTACTCCTTCCACTCATGATATATCTACTCTTGAAATCCGGTGTGATTTCTACCGAACCCCGAACTGTCAGCCCTTGGCGAATCCCCCGCGTTTATCCTTGACCTTACTAGTCTTTCACGTGATATTTCTTACTGGACGAAAACCACTTCTGTTGTTGCTTGTGTCTTCACTTGATGCATATATGGCATAAACACAAAATACTTGATGCAGTTGCCGTTGCTATCCAGTGAAGTTCATCTTATAATTGCCGAGTTCTCCTCAAATCAATACGATTATAATTCTGCTGCAATTTCTTAGAATTCTCACGGAATCGTTCCAATTCGTTCGGGTAGCCACAGCAATTTCATATCGTCTACCTGCTCTGAAAGACAGAATTTTTGCTTTACTGTCGGTATGGGAGACGCAGTCTTCTGCCGCAGATGCCTGCTGGAGTTGCCTGTGAAGTTGATTCAATGGATTGGGGCATCGTTTGTTGAACATCTTTGGTAACAAATCAAATGTCTTTCTCTACTTTCTCAAATCGCATTGGCGCTTACGACGTGCTTTCAAAACTCGTACGTAGAGTCGAAAAAGAAAATTTGATATAACCTTTCAGGTGTCATGCCAAGGGTTTTACGGGAAGCAGCATTAAATGCAGTGACCCACAACTCCATCCTCGGTATATCTCGAGACTGTGGATTGAAAGTGTCACCCGTATTCGAAGAGCAAGAGTCATCTCAACTCTCGTCATTATTCAATGCGATCACGATGTCCCACCCACATACAAACGTGCAGTCAGCGGATAATATGGAAAGTCTCCAAGCTGAAAGATTGGCAATCGAGGTCTATGAGCAATTACATTCTTTAAAAAGTACGTGTTAATCACAGCCTTCTATTTATTGTTCCTGCATAGACTGAAGGAGTACGCTCTTGGTGAAAGCCAACAGCAAGTTCTATATTTATAATGGCGGTGAAATGAGAGGTTTCTTGTGGGAACTTCCAATAAGCGGCTGTTTTCTGCCCTGGCATCCAAAAACAGATCTTAAAGGGAGAATAGATCTGGATTCCAGTCAATTAAACATCATTTACATCACCATTACCATCCCTGAGTAGATGGTCACTGCACGCAATACAAAGACTGCACTGGGTGTTGACGTTGATAAAACCTTCTGGATAGGAAGTAAGGCCGCTTGTGATAGTGGTGTGTCTTAATACTCTTCAATACCAAGATTACAAAAACGGTTGTGGGTTCCACGGCCCTGTATTTGATAGCAGTCGTATGCGCGATCGGTTGTTATACACTTTAAGTAGGATAGGTACCTGCTTGCCCCAATCTGAAAAGAATCATACTCTATTTTGTAACAGATGGCGCTTTATTTTGTTTTGGTATATCCACTAAGTATAACCATAGAGAGAGCTTTGGGTAAGCGGCCATTAATATCGTTGGCTCAGTGTGATCCACGGAATGTTGGAATGAAAGTTTGTTAGCCAGAGCAAGTACTGACTCCTCGACTACAAGTTTTCAAAATCCTCTTTCGATAAATAGACACACAATGAGATTTTTAAAAGCTACATGGCATTGGATTGTATTTTGATGGTAGTCCTACCAGCTCAGAATTGAAAGAATTTTTACCCTCAGAAGATGCGGCTATGATCAACTTGAGATGCTGGCACAATTCAGACTTGCTGAAATTCGGCCGGGCAGTCCACACAGGAGTGGTATATTCGGAGCTATTTGATGAAATCAACGGAAATGGGAAGCTCCGGCACGCGTCGACAGACTTAGAGCTGTCTCAGGAGAAGATAGGATCTGAGATACACGACGGTGATTTCAAAATACTCGGAATGATTAAGGGCCTATTTCTTTCTAAAAGGGCAACTTCACTAGCTGGCCATGTGCCCAGGGGGGATAAGAAGATGATCGCAACCTCAGATAGCAATCAAGGGTCTTGTTCAAGTGAAGATCAAGGGAATGAAATCCAAACAGAAGCAGAAGAACAAGATCTTCCAAAAGAGCCTGGGTCCGAGCCTAGAGAAGGAATATTCGTTCTTGAATGGGTTTTCAATGACATCAGTTCATCCGCAATGGCCATATCAGAATTGGGATTATCCGAGGTTATGCAAAAAAAAACACTTTAGAAACTTGGCAATCCTCAAAGTAAATGGCCGGAGGTACTGTATGAGAAATTGCTGACCCCGGGCCTCGTGGCGGCCAAGAAGGTCTTCGATGAGCAATATACTACTCAAGTTTTCGCCTTAGATACGAAATATATGAGAATGGAAGATGGATTCATGAAGAAATTGAAAACAGCTAATAAGGAGATTTCTGTTTTAAATGCGCAATATACGAAAATCAAACATGAACTCCAAAAGAAATTGGAAGCAGTCTATGAGGAGAACTTTGACTTGAAGACGCGAATCATGAAAATGGTAGTCATATTCGAAGAGGTATTGGAAACACATAGAAAGAAGGGGACGTAGAAGGAGAATGCTAATAAAGACGAGATGAGTCGGCACATGGATGATTTGAACAAGATGCTCATGAAGATTGCGGCACAGCGACTTGAGCTTGCAGAGAAATTGAGATCTTCGTTGGAAAATGTTCCACAACCATTGGTAGAAAGAGAAGTCGAAACGACAAGTGCCCAAACATTGGAGGAATGCGTCTCTGGAAAAATGTGGTTCAGAGATCCCAAGATTAACCCAAAGAATATTATCGAGGCCATCAAAGACGCTCATCTTCACCATATTCAATTTGTCCGTGACACTGAGTATTTTCGAGGGTTGACGGACGGCTAGAGTATCCAGATCATTGAAAATTGGTTAGATTCCTGGGAACCTACTGCAATCTTGGAGGAGGAATTGTTTGTCTTCTCAAACTAACATACCGGCGAAAATATACACAAACACACTGGCTCAAATCTTGAGGATCATGAAGCCATGATAGATAGCCAACTCGAACAATCTCCAGTCCAATCGACTTCTTCCCCTGAGGTCGTCCCAACGTTCTGTACTAGTGATATGGGTATTTCGTTACTAGATGTGGAAGGGGGGCTCGACGATTCCTTTTTCGATGAACTAATGAGTGGTTCAGCAAAGGAAGATGGAGACATCGAGGATTCGTATGTGAATGAAACAGGGCAACAGAAAACGCTTCAGCAAAATATGGAAAAAGAAGTCGATCATACTTTTTTCGATGATCTTACAAGTAGCACAACAGGAAGAGATAATAATATCGAGACTTCATGTGTATACATGAAACAGAGCAACCAAAAACTATCCAACAAAACACAGAAAGAGAACTCGACCATACTTTTTTCGAAGACGTGATGAGCAATTCAACGAAGAGAGGTAATGATATTGAGAGTTTGAGTGGAAGTGAAAGAAACTGGCTGAAGGCGGCTCAGCAACATGAGATTCCAGCTTCTCAACCACAAGACTTGGAGGATGAGTTGACTATTGTTGTGGATACTACGCTTAGAATATTGTGACCACTTGGTTTGATGATGGTTCTGGGGCTCGTTTGATATTATTGAGTTTCATTTTCTGCGCAGTAGCGGAGTTAGGATAATCGGGACGAGACGAATGAGTTGGGGTGGTAGTTTGATTGGATTTTAATTTTGCCGGTACTGAATGCCATAGTTAGTATAGGAAGCCTGTTTGTTCCCTTGAATCGTTTGGCTATTCAAATAGTGTAATAGGGTTGGAAGTAGGTGTGTTCAAGGTGTGTGATTTTGAGGCTTCAGTGTGTGCGTGCAGGTGCAGCCATTTTTCTTCCTCTTCCAAACGGAAAGAAAAAGTATAAATAGACGAAACGTCTGGCGGGTCTTGAATGCTATGATTCAGTTCTATTAGAGAGTTCGAAGTATACTAAAATGATACTTCCTACCTCAAATAGCAACGTCATTCCATCTACTTTCATTCTTCTACTTGTCTCCAATCAAAAGAGACATTGCTCTTCTCTTTTGAAACTCCTATTCGCACGGTATTTTTTTTTATAGATTAATGCTCAAAGACAAGACCAAATATACCTAAACTACTTAACCACCCAGTCTATACCCAAGTTTCCCTTCCTCATTCTTTCTATTTCCCAATCTATCTCTCTATAGTTTACTCTCTCTCTTGCCCGCCCCCTCATCCCCTTCTCCGTCTCCACTAGCAAGCTCTTCCACCTTCGCAAACCGATAGAAGAATTTCAAACTCTCCGGATTCAGCAACGTACCACTCGGTTTGATAATCTTCCCCGATACGATTTGCTTCACTGGAAGTTCGACTTTCTTCAGATTTACTGTTGTCTAGATAGGTTTGCAGAAGATTAGTTTCAATGCGCGAGATCTATAGAGTAAGAGATTCCTTCAGAGTTGAAAAGATGAACTCACAGGAATATCCGGGGCTTCGAAGATCCATTTCGGAACATGTCTTTTACTTAATTCCCTTCCAATTACCTCTTTCACCTTTTCTCTCAACCTTTCGCTAAATTTCTTACCCTCTCTCATTACTAAAAATAACATTACCCTCTCATCTTCATCCCCTTCTCTTTTCTGCCCCACGCACAAACTCTCTTGGACTTCCGCCCCAAAATATTTCTCAATAATACTATATATCTCCGCGCTGCCAAAACGAACACCACTCGGATTTAAAACGCCATCTGCTCGACAGAGGAAATGTAAGTTATGAGTTACGGGGTGAATGGATACAAAATCACCATGCGTCCAGACATGAGTATATTTCGAAAAGTAAGAGGAATGGTACAAAGAACCGTTGTGGTCGCGAAAGAAGAAGACGGGGATATTAGGGAAAGCATGGGGAGCTACTAATTCACCAGGCGTGCCGTGCTCAACTGAAACACCTTGTCCGCTTTCGACGAGAGCATCGTAAACCGCGATAGGTGTGCCTAAGCTAGGACCTTGAGTACCTCCAATGTAAACTGGAGTCAGGGGATTCCCTTGACCAAAAGATCCTGCCTTCGAATCATCAGCACACTTGTTGTCAACATACCTAGAATATGAGACAACCTACAATATCCGTTCCTCCGGAAATATTAGCCAAATGCACTCTTTTTGAAAATCCTATATCATAAAACCATTCAAAAAGCTGATCCGACAATACCATACCCGTGCTCGTCACCGACTGCAAACTCGAAAGATCTGTCACATCTCTTGGTGCAATCTTATTTTTCTGCATTTCGGCCATCCACTTTGGGGATGTCCCGAAGTGCGTGACTTTTAAATTGCCGAGAAGTTTTACAAAGGTAGTGAGATCGGGTTGAAAGGGACTTCCATCATAGAGAACTACGCGACATCCGTTGAGTAGATTGGAGATGGACATGAAATACATTATCCATCCGGTTGTGGTGTATTGAAGGACAGTAGACTGGGGATCGGTTTCTAGATGGAAAGTTCCTTCTTTAGCTGCGCTGAGGATTGCGCCACCAATGGAATGGACGATACATTTTGGTGTTCCAGTGGTACCAGATGAATATGCAATGAAGAAAGGATCGTGGAAAGCTGTTTTGGCGAAAGTAATAGTTCGAGATGTAGGTTTTGAGAGGTAAGTGGATAGACTCTGGGTACGAGGGAAGTCGGTGATATCTGAGGGCGTTTGAAATCTAGGCATGGAAACCATTCCTTTGAATTCTTTAACATTTTTCATCCCATGCACAATCGCCAACATCTTTTCGCGAAGATCAACAGTCTTGCCATTGTAGACGGCCCAATCATCCATAAAAATATACTATTATATGTAAGTTACTTCTTCACACATCACTACTTCATCTGGAAATGCTAGACATACCTTTGGTTCAACCTGCAAAGCCCGTTGCAAAACACCTTGAACACCCATATCCGTCGAACTACTACTAAACAAACCTCCAAGCGATGCTACAGCCAGGCACACCTTCAAAGTATCAAAAGAATTACTAGCCACAACCACCACTCTATCACCCATCCCAACACCATGGTCTTTCATAGCACTAGCTAATTCCGCTACTCCTTTTCTCAACTCCCCCCAACTAATATCACGTATTTCTGTTCCTCCTTCTCGAACCTCAGTCAAAGCAATCTTATCTTCTTCTTTCCCAATCGTACCTCCATGGGATGATGCATGACCGGGTACTCGCGAATACAAGATATTTTCAGCAAAATTCATATATACACCCGAGAACCAACGCGGTATGGAACCTATAGGTGCATTCTCATCAACGACGGTTGTGTATGAGCCGCTATAGATTAGGTTGAGGTATTGGAAACACTGATCCCAGAATTGAGCTCGGTGAGTGGTGGAATATTGCCAGAGATCCCAGAAGTTCTGAAGTAGTCAATTAGTATATCAAAGACAGGAGAAAAGGTACCGGTAGCTCAAATTACATCGATCTGAAGATTGTGTTTTTGATTGATTTCCTGCATCAGTTTATACATAGCTGTGCTTTTGGGATTGGGATGCTCCCAGAGCTTTCTGGGTAGACTCATGGAACTCATGTCTGTATATAATCTCTTGAAACTTTGACGAGACAATGAAATGGAAAATTGGATGTCGAAGTAAGTTGATATGATGAGGAGGAGGTCATCGAAAGCTAGGCTTGCTGTCTAGCTACTGATAACCGCGGAACTACGGAAGTAGCTGTATGGAGAAGATCTTTCCCAGATTGTGACCGATGGCGGGATGTGCGGACAAGGTTGATATACCACGGTATCAATCCGCTTGTTCATATTGAAGATCCGCCACACGAATGATACTAAATAATTCTGATTTTAGCATACCATATTCTTCTCGACATACCGGTACTCAATGTACAAGAAAGATGGACGCGGTGGATTGGAACGAGCAATGTTGTTTCGAGGTCTTAGGCGGCTGATTGACTCCTACATTCCAAGGTTGAGGGATGGCTGGATGGTCGGAGAGACATTCTCGAAGCCCCACCTATCTCTTTTTGTCATCTTGACTCTACCTCCCTCTACCTTACCTTTACTTACATACAACGAATTTCCTAGACCCGACAATATGCTCACAAAGTATTTCGCTTTCGTATTACCGTTTGGCTCTCAGAGCAGTAAACATTCGATTTGCACTAGCAAACGCCGCCCCATCAAACTAATACCTACTACTTATTGAATCTCCTAACCCAAAGACAAAGAATAGGAGATGACTTCATTTTATAAGGCTGGAGTAAGATACGAAGTACCATTTAAGCGAATCCACTGTATTATAACGATCAAGATGTTCCTTTTAATGCCGCTAACATATGTACACAGAAATTGCAATAACATAGTTTATCAGCATATAGCCCATATCAACATATAGCCCACTTTCACCTCAATTTACACTTTCAAACTCATATTATTTAATAACAATTGAATTAATTAATTGAAACTATTAAGAATTTAATAATTTAGAATCTATTACATTATTTTGATAGATTTTTATATTATATCCTGTTTTTCCATATTTACTATAATATCAATTAGAAAATACTTTCCTATTAGAATTCTCCTTTTTTTAATACTCATTACATTAAATCTAAATATCAATCTTTTATTGAGATAATATATTAAAAGCTTTTTATTTAATAAATACTTCTCCTTAATATAATTAGGTTTTTTTTATATATTAATATTTATTTAATACTTTATTTATTACTCAAAGTGTATAATTCTTTATATTTAAAAGTGTATTTTTATAAATTAATCTTTTTATATCCTTAATTAGAGTTAATATAATTTCGAATATAAATATAAGGAAGCTTGATTAATAACAAGTTATTTGAGATTTAATTAATATTGATTGAAAAAGAGCTTCAATTGGGTTATAAGAGATTTAAGAAATCTATTAATTTAAATCGAAAAAGGGGAAGATAAACATACAAATTCGAATATTTAATTTCGAAAATATAACTTTAGAATTAAATAGTATTAAATTTATTCCTTAAAATCCTAATTTTATATTCTAAAAGATAATTAATTTTTTGTATACAATTTCAAAAGCTATAAAGAATTCAACCTTCAAAATATAATTAATATATATCTTAATAAATCTATCAATTTGATCACCATATAAATGTTTTAGATTACTAAAACAATTAATATTAAGTAATTAAATTAAATAACTTAAATATAATAGTAAATATAAATATATAATATTATTTTCTTTATAGTATACTTGAAAAACTATTGATTTATAACTTTTATATTTATTTAGTATTAATATTCGATATTTATTCTTTTTTCAATTCTTAATATATTTATTAAAATGTTTCAATTATTTTAAATCTGTTTCATTATTTATCCATTTATTAGATATAGATTTAATAGTTTATTCTATAAGAAAATTTGTTTTGGTGTATTAATTAAAAAGATGAATTTGTTTTTAAACTATTAGAAATAAAGGGATAATTTCATTCCTTTTATTTCTATATATTATTATTATAGTTCATTCTCAATTGTTTAGTTGTACTGATTTACTTCTACTATATTTCTTAATATTAATAATAATTATTATTATATATATAACCCCTATTATAAAGTCTATTTTATTAAAATTATAGAAATCTCTATTCAAAATATTGTATTTCGTTTATATATTTGTAATTAATCAAAACCATTCTTTAATAAATTTAGGATTTTTATAAAAAATTCTTTGAAAATTCTAAATATAATTAAAATATATCTTTAATTTGATTCAATATTTTACAAATTAATATGCTTAAAGCTTTCTAACATTCTTTATACCTTTTAATGTTACGGGAGCTGCCTCTAGGGTCACGTGGAAGTGTCTAGAGATCTCTCGAGGTGGTTTAGACTAGACTTCAAGTAGGAATTCAATAAGGTTGTAACTGGTTGCAATTCTCGTAACTATAGTAATGAAACTAATGATTGTTCTTGAGCACGAAGCTCTACATGTAAGGAAACCCTTTCCCTTATATAGACCTTTGCACTCTGCGATCCCATCGATCCCACTCACTGAGAGTAGTGGGCGTAGTGGGATCCCACTGATCCCATTGATAATAATCGGTGGGACTGATGGGATGGTCCATCACGTGATACTAGTCCCGTGAGTCTTGTCGTCCTGTCTTATTTCCTGTCCTAGGGCTAATCCCTTGGGAGCTTACTAATCCTAGCAAGACCTCTCTTGCTTACTGTGTCCTGTATTGCTTATTCTTCTTAGGACCCTACTGTCCTAGGAACCATGTCCTATGATTCAGTGTATTCTATAACTAATACTATATACATGCCTGAGGCTTTCCTTGAGTGCCTAGTGTCCCCCGGTATACTGCAGCTGAATCACTGAGGCCTATAATACCATTATAGCCTATAAGTCAGTGATTCTACAGCCTGTTACTAATCCGTTGTAACATTTAATTCGAGAATATAATTTATTATATTTTTTATATTTCTAAGTTTAAATAAAAAACCTTTTAAATCTATATTGAATATATATTCAATAATAATATCCTCTTTTAATTCTAAAAGATTATAAGATTTATATTGATATTTTGTATAAGGGGTAAAATTGTTAATTTTATATTGTAATGTTGTATATAGGATATTATATATATTAGTAATTTTTCGAATACTTTATTTTTTGTTTTTCTGAATAGCTTCGATAACAAGGAGTATATAGACTTTTTAATTATTCGAATTTATAATGGATTGTTAATAAAATATATGTTGAAAAAGAAAGGTGTAAATTGAGATGAAAATGAGTCATATGCTGATATGGGCCATATGCTGATAAACTACGTTATAAGATTATCGTGAAGCGAAGATTCGAAAGACAACAAAGACAAAGTCACACCACCGAGATAACGTGGCTGATATCAGGCTACCTAGGTACCTACCCCTCATTATTCAACAGGAGTGATACTCAGATAGTGAATATTGTGAATATTGTATATATAGTATTAAAGGAAAAAAGCTCATCGCATCTACCATCTCCGATCGGCGTTCCTTCCACTCCCAAATCTCCATTCACGACTTCGAATATCAACAGGAATAGCATAGCATCGGCATCAAAAAACTCTATGCCGGACAATACCCTTCCTCCTAATTTCCGTTTTCCATAACTATCGTTTTGTGGAATCCCATTATCCGACAAAGTAAGACTACAAGGGTCATTGAAGTCCGCCCCATAAATCGATGAATATAAATAATCTTACAATACAACCTGATCAAACTCTAATTTCCCACCCTAAACTTCAGGGTCCCTACACACCATCCAACATCTCTCCCGCCAATCCATCAATCCATCAATCCATCAATCCACCCCTCCCACCCCTCTCAAAATATCCCGCTACTGGCCCCACCCCCCCTATACCGAAGACCAACCCTACGCCGGACCTATCCTCTGGACCCACATCCTCACTCGCGGTCCCCCCACCGCCGCTTTCCTCACCCCCTTCATCTCCGCCAGCACTCTCATCTACCGCAAACTCCCCTTGCCCGCCTCCCTACTTCCGCGCCCAATCTTCATCCTTTCCCTCCCAACTTCTCAATCTCCGCTCTATGGGCACTAACACTCTCGGCGTCACTTCCCTCCTTACCATCGCAACCATTGCCCGTATGTACGGGCGTACAGATATTGAATATCAGGATCGCAGCTGGCGTCTTCTAGAAAGCAAAGGACAGATGGAATCTGATGATTGGATGTATGGCGGTATGATAGTTGGTGCTCTTTGGAAGTTCAAGTCTGGTTCTTTGGTGGATTGGAGGGTGAGAGTTGGGAGTATCAGTGCAGGGAGCGCAATGGGGGCTCTGGGGTATTTAGGTTGGAGGTATGGAGTCAAGGGGGGAAAATGGGATGAAGATTAAAGGAATGAGAGGCCTGAGAGTACGAATTTATGATTGATGATTCGGACTTCAGGCTGTATGGCACGGTTTAGAAGTTTGGCGGAAAATTAATTGGATATCTCTCGCTCCTTATTATCTATAGGTTGGTGTATAATACTATAACCATTTAATTGACTAATACCCCATGTAAATGTATATCTAAATTGACCAACAACCATCCCTTATTAGCGAACAGGTGATCAAGTTTCAAATGCTATACGCCAGTCAGAATGCATTTTTACCCCCTCTTTACCCATTTATTCTGCTATTGTCACAATTGCCTTCCGTCCCACAGTCATACGCCCCTAAAAGAGAAACAAAACTCCAACAATTGTAAAGACGTGAGAGGTTTCCATCTCAGACCTCCCCTCCTTGTTACCACCTTTCCGAGACCCCAGCTCCTTAACCAATTCACCGAAAGAATACTAATCACCATCACTAAGCTCCATTGAATTGACTTCATTTATCACCACTTTGCTCCTCGACTTCCCCTTCCCTTTCATTCTGCTTGGTCTTAAACTTGCTAAAACCTCATCTTTTCTCAATGATAACTCCCTCTCAATGTCATCTTCCTCATCATCAAAAATCCTACTCCCATTGATACCATGAATGGCCGTTTCCTCCAAAGCCTTATTAAGCAATTCGGTTGCAATAGCATCTTGAGGTGAAATAGCAAGTGCTTCGTGAAACATCAAAACGGCTTCAAAAGGTTTTCTCTGCTCCATTAATACCAAACCCTTTGCACAAAAAATAGCCGCATCTTTTCCACCCTGCCGAAGTACGGCATCAAATTCCGCCAAAGCGGCATCCCATTGATGAAGACGTCGATATGCATGACCCAGATTCGAGCGAGTGGATATCCAAGCTTGTGGATCACTGTCGATCTCTTCAGCAATTTCGAGAGCTTTCCTTAATATTAAGACGGCATCTTCGAGTCGTTCTTGGTGATAGAATACAACTCCCATCTCGTTCAGAAGTAATGGATCGGTTTTGCAGAGTTCGTATGCGGTTTTCAAAAACTCATCAGCTAGAGTCATGTTATTCAGCATGTGATTTTGCATGCCTAAAAATAGTTGGGGCAAATGAGTGCCCATAAAAAGTCTTGCTGCTGTCGAATATGCTGAGATTGCTTGATCATGTTCTCCTTCTGCTGCGAAAGTATGGGCGAATCCAATCCAAGCAGGTCCAAAATGAGGATCCATCATACTGGCTTTACTGAAATAACGTCGAGCTTCAGCGACTTTGTTTATGGCCAAATAATAGATTCCCACGGCAAGCCATGTACAGGGCTCTTCTGGATGATTATCCGCTAGATCGTGTGATACCTGTCAATATAATGTCAGCATTTATGGCGTGTCATAGCTTTTCCTTCGAACTTCTCTGAAAATTGAGCCGTGCTATGTCCACCCGAAAAAGATGCGCCATATTCCTGAACCAAGGATTCATCAATGCGAGGCATGAAAAAGAAGTCGATAAATGCAAGTGTGCTAGGAAAGAAAGAAGACCATGTCACTTACTAGGAACAAAGCATTCTTCAGTTGTAATTCGTACAGACATGCTAAATGTAAGGGGTATATACTAAAATTGTATTTGTCCTCTTCGAGAATAGAATTTGTGATGGCTAAAGCATCCTTAAACCTGCATTGTGTAAAGAACAGATCCGCTTTAGACAATAAAAGATCGGGATTTGTAGCAAGATTGTAATGTGTTGAGAGTGTTTCTGTCGCTGTTGTAAAAGCCGCAGGATTCTTGTATTTCGAAAGTCGAGTAGTATAAAGCATTTTTGTAAATTCGGCAGCTTCTTGTGAAGATGAAGTATCGTCCGTAACGGATATAGTATCGAAATCCAGGGATTCTAGAAATTGCCATTCCTCCTCTGGTGACATCAGACAGTTCTTCATAAGCTGCTCGAATGCTTCGAAGCATTGTACATCTATTCGAACAGCATCTTTGTAACATTCCTTCGCTCTATCGAAAGCATTTTGTTTAGCATAGCAAAGTCCTCGTAGAAAGCACATTGCAGCTTCGAACTTGACATTTGCCGCTTCATCTTTTGCTATCTCATCGTGTCTATGCCGACTGCTCTGTGTCGTTGATCCATTTCGGGCATGACCTCTTGTATGTTGTAATTTTTTCCTGTTGTGACCGGCCGTTGATATCAAGTGTGTAGGGTTCTTCTCGCCGAGTATACTCAAAGCCTCCTCGAATCTCGATTGTTTTATCAGACAATGGCCTGCAAGGTACCGACAGGATGGATTTCGAGCTATCAAGTCTTGTTTGGTTAGGAAACTCTGAGCTCTTGTATAGTTTCCCGTAGAGAAGTGCACTTGTGCAAGCCAGAAAGCATCTTTATCACTTTCTATAAAATGGTTAGATCCAGAAAGTAGTCAAGAGGAGTATGGAAGAGGTAGTACTTGTTATAGCTAGCAATTTATCTCCAATGAATATTGCCGAGTCGTATTGGTGCTTGTTCATAGCATCCTGCCGCCAATCTCTCAAGAATTTCTCCATATCTTATCGTAAATTGTATCCATACAATCAAGTTTCGATTACTATGATCAATTTCAAAGGATATATCAATTACGAAGGGGTACTAAATTAGGTTTAATGTTTGTTTTCATAGCGAGGCAGTCGCGTGGGGTGACGCGAGGCTGAGATCTTTGTCAATGATTTTCACGAGGCTAGGCGATAAAGGCTTACATAACACATTCTACCGCAGACTGGGCTATCAATTTGATCCAGAACTTCGTCGCCTTGTCTTGTTTCTCACCTATAATCCATCACTGCATCGCCAAATCAGAATCGAAATTACTTTCATCCCCTTTGGACACCTAAAAATCTACTACGATAACGATCAGATTATTTACGGCAGCTTAATTCAAGATGTCCGAGCGAAAAGTTCTCACCAAGTACTACCCACCTGATTTCGATCCTTCGAAGATTGTTAAGTCGCGCGCTCCCAAACAAGTAGGCCCAAAAGTACAGACAGTCCGCTTGATGGCACCATTCCCCATGAAATGTACGGCTTGTGGAGAATATATCTACAAAGGGCGCAAGTTCAACGCGCGCAAAGAAACTACGGAGGAGAAATACCTGGCTATCTCAATTTATAGGTTTTACATCAAATGTACGAGATGTTCTGGCGAAATTACCTTCAAGACGGATCCTAAAAACATGGATTATCAGTGTGAGCGTGGCGCCAAAAGAAATACCGAACCATGGCGTGCTAATGGAGGGGGTCTTCAAGAAAGTGATGAGGAGAGACTCGATCGTTTGGAAAGAGAAGAACAAGAGCGAGATGCCATGCAAGAATTAGAGGACAAAACCGCAGAAGCAAAAACGGAAATGGCTGTCGCCGATGCATTGGATGAAATTCGCACAAGAAACGCAAGGAATGAACGGGTCGGAAAGGATGGAGCTGAAGTCACTGTAACACGAGAAAATGTTGATTCGGAACGAGAAAGACAGGAAAGAGAAGACGAAGAAGCGGCTCGAAGGGCGTTTATGAGGAGACAGGAGGCCATGGAAGAGATTATAGAAGATGATGCTGATGATGTCGGTGCAGGACCAGCACCAAAGATTACCAAAGAGGAGGCATTAGCAATGCCACCTCCGAGCTTCAAACGAGTTGTGAAAAAGAAAAAAGATCATGCTGCTGCATTGGGGATCAAGAAGAAGCCTTCCCTGGTTTGAATGGAGTCCTCGGTTGTGACGGCAGACGATAGAAATACTACGATAGTATATTGATATTCGAGTGGATTGGTATGGGAGAGCGTTATGCTAGCACAAGATAATGTTTGTAGAATCAAATATCATTCGTTCAAAAAGCCACTAGAAATGTCAAAAGTGCGTAGGCTAACTAAACGCAGATTGTCTACGGCTTTAGGGTTGCTCCCGTGAATCTGCCCGCGCTTTGATGAAACATGCTTTTTCCACCACTGCAATCCGACGTTGTGTGTTGATGATGTATGTAAGAGTTTAGGCCCCGGCTTATCGCACATTAAGTAAAAACACACCAAAAACCCTCATTTCTTCAACTTTTAAACTATATATTAATTCAATTAATTTATGAATTAAGTTTATAAAAATAATATATAAGATTGAGAATTATTAAAATGATTCAAAAAAACAAATGAAATATTTTTAGTTATTTTTTTGATAAAATTATAGGTTCTTAAAGTTGAAAGTATTGAAAAACTTGAAAAAAGTAGTTTTTTTATATAGGAAAAGTATTATATGCTATAAATTTTGAAAAATTTCAATTTTAAAAAACTATAACTTTATTAATTTTTATAATTTCAAGGAATTATTTCAATTGAATATTCTTTATATAGTTATTTCTTATATATACAATTTTCAAATCAATTCTTCAAATAGTTAAAGAATTATGAAAATAATTAATTTATATAAGAAAATAGTATTTTTGCGGGGATTTTGTTACGAAAAAGGGTGGTGTGCGATAAGTCAGGGCCTCAACTCTTATATAGCCGATATTTCCGTTCTGGATTCGAAAGACAAATACTTCTTTCGCTCTGATTGATTATTCGTTGTCTTATCCCTTTAGGAGCGATTGAAATGGCGACACACTAATTGAACTTAAACCTAATAAGGAATTGAAATAAAGTATGTTCAAGATTAGGTTTTTATGTACATATAGGAGGGTGTTACGAGGCTTATTTAAAACCTTATATCTTGATATACGAGGCTTATAAATCATATTTTCTTTTTATCTTTAAATCGAAATAAATCATTTGCCTTTACTACTAACATGGTTTATCAGTGAGCGGGTCATATTAATGAATGGGTCATTTTCACCTCAATTTACACTTTCAAAACTATATTATTTAATAATAATCAAATCAATTAATTAAAACTATAAAGAATCTAATAATCTAGGGTTTATTATATTATTTTGACAAGTTCTTGTATTATTTCCTGTCTTTCTATATTTACTACAACATTTACTAAAAAATACTTTTTTA